CAGTCTCCTCTATACCAGCTCCTTGAAAGATACGTAAAAACCCATACAAAGCATTATCCAAGAGTCTCTGATATATCTGAGCCCCATTCTTGAGTCCAAATGGCATCCGCAGCCATTCGAATAACCCCAATGGGGTGACAAAAGCCGAGATCCTTCTCGCCTTTTCGGTCATGCCGACGATCCAAAAAATACTTGCATTTCCAGGAAGCAGTATCACAATGCTCCGTTCAGGTCCTCCAACAATTCATTGATCAGAAGCATAGGGTAGACCATAAGCTGGATCAAGTCATTCAACAACCGATATTCAATTCACAGCCTGATATCCAGTCCATTTTTCTTCACAATAATGACGATTGGGCTGGCCCATGGCGAGATAGAGGTCTGGATGATCTTCGCAGACAATAGTCCCTTGATCTGATCGGCCAACTTATCTTTGAACTGGTGAGTCACCTTCGTACACGTTGTGCAATCGGCCTGGCATTATCCACATCAAAATCACAGATAGCTCCTCGAGCGGCCGGTGGTAAGGCATTACCCTTTCCCATAAGTAGATGTCGCCTTCTCTATATAATTCGTCTCAGTCGGTCTATCTCTTCTGGCGGGCTTCCGTCATAGTCAGGAATCTGTATAACTTCCAAGTTAATACTTTTGGGTGAAAGGTCTACCTCCGGTACGATAGCCCATCCTTGTTTACATCTTCGGCCTAGAGTTCCGCACTTTCGAACGTGCAAACTTGGTCATCTGCTTGTGGCGACTCTACCAGCAATCCTTCGCCTTCTTTTTTTCTGCCCCACTTGATTGGCTTAAGGGTCTACCTGCTCGACCTGAGAGTCCACCTGGTCAGCGTGCGGGTCTACCTGGTCGACCATAGGGGCGCTCGCAGCCAGTATTACTCCTCGCAAAGGTGTGGACTCGATTTCATCGTCAATTGCCCCCAAGACATAGGCGCGGCACGTTTCGACCTACCTACGCCACCCGTGGAGCCTGACGAAGTGTTATACGTCATGAGTTTGATGGTTCGGTCCAAGTGAAACAGGGAGGTGGAGTCTGTAGCGCTATTGTAAAGAGATTACCTAATTGAACAATAGTCAAGGCTGCCTCAAAGTTCCTTATTGCCTTTACAGTGAATGAGGCCAAGTATGAGGGTATGCTACGGGGTTTCGACCTGTTAGAGTCTCTAGAACGACGGCGACTGATCTTCTGTGGAGATTCCAACTCGTTGGTATGGCAATGCGGGGAGAACTCGAGTGTAAGGTGTCAGGATTGTCTCCGTTACAAGCAAGAGCTTTAAGTAAGCTGCCGTCATGGCCCACCCAAAGAATCGTGCATGTAAAACGTGATTGTAATCCGAGTGCCGACCAGTTGGCCAGCACAGCTCTGCGTAGAAGGAAGGGATGAAGTTAATACCGGAAGGGGCATGGCCAAATTTGAAAGCAATAAACCTATTGCCAGAGTTACTAGTTACCAAGGACCAAATTCCATCGGCCAATCTCTTAAGGCCGACACCACATCTCAACCAAGTCCTCCGAAGAGTGCAACCCGCCAGCCGGCGGGTACACAAGGTGATCGAAGGTCTATACGCGGCATCGGGGTACCCCATCAGACAGTCGGCAGTCCAGCACAGTGAGTGGCTTGGGGTCTCATTACGCAGTTTTGAGAACCCACTCCACCACAAATTATTCAGGCTCGAACCGTCCTACAACCATACCCACCTCGCGAAGAAGGGACACGAGCGCGGTGATCGCGTCTGTCACCGTTCTTAGCTTGGGAAGAGTCGACACAGGTCCACTGAGCTGACCCAGCAGTCGTGTCTCGAGGGCTATGGTGACGGGGTCACTTTCCAGGAACGCGTTGAGCTTGAGCTGATGGTAGGCCATGGTCACGTCAGCATCCGACCAGGACAAGGGTCCTGAGGTCAAGGGGCCTACCGACTTGGTGTCACCTGGTGCCTCCATCCGGAGCTTGGTCGGTTTGGACATGGCGACCGTATTTTTTGTAGTTTGTTGTTTGTTGAAGACAATAGTCTATCAGTTTTTACCTTCGACTGATTGTCCTCTGGGGCATGATAGAACTCATGACCCAAGATGTCCTCGACGACGACATAGGGAGGGCATTTTGGTTTCTCTTCAATAAGTTCAACCTTGGCCAAATTGACTGGGCTCCTCCCAAGGTCCTGTCAGTCCTTTGATCCTTTATTGTTTTCTTGTGTAGTCACTGGCGATCGGTATTTCAGTGACTCTTCGGTCTTTTCCTCAATCTTTGCTTGAACATCCTCATCTTCTTGGGACTCGCGGTGATATCCCGCGTCTTCCGAAGATCCGGGCACGCGCACCATTGTGGTGGATGTGCGTAATGAGACTAAGCCACTCACAGTGACGTACTGCCGACTGTCTGAGGTGGTGCCCCGATGCCGCGTATAGACCTTCTCTCATCTTGTGTGCCCGTCGGCTGGCGGGTTGCACTCTTCGGAGGACTTGGTTGAGATGTGGTGACGGCCTTAATAGAGGTCTACCTTGGGAGGCCTCGAGTAGGTATACTTCGCTCGGTAGGCGGGTAGGTCCCCAACGTGACACAATTTGAGATCGGGTGCGAGTCCAAGCCAAGCAATGAACACATGCGTATTTTTAGATGCCAAGCCTACATTCTGACGCCAAGTGAGAAGCGTCTCAAGTGGGACTCCAACGCTCGAGTTGGCATTTTCATGGGATATAAAGAAGTGTCGAAGGCATATCGAGTGTTTGATGTCGAAGCTGGACAAGTGGTGATCACTCGTGATGTGATTTGATGAATCGACATTTGGATTTTCAATAGAACCATCAAGTGAAGAAGTCGATGATGCGATGTTTGACTTGGATCTTCTCGAGGTCAACGACGATGATGTGCGTCAAGTCAACTATAGGCAGACAGGCAAGTGCAAATATCGGTCGACAATGTTGTGCGCTCGGCTTGTCAGCACACTGGATTGGAAGAAGCAAGTGCGTCAGATGTTTTGTATGATTTTCAAGCAGATATACGGCATCGACTACACGGAGACATTCTCACCGGTGGTCAAGTATGTGATGCTGCGCATGGTGGTCGCGATTACCAAGTACTTTGGCTAGCCTCTTGACCAACTTGACGTGGTCACAGCTTTTCTCTATGGTGTGATGATAGAAACGGTGTACTGCGCGGTTCCAGAAGGCGTCGAATTGGACGGAGACTTCAACTGCCTCGAGTTGGTGAAGCCAATCTACGGTCTCAAGCAAGCTTCTCGTGTATGGAACGAGACCTTGGACGAGTTTGTTCGCTCCATGACTTCCAAGTTTCGGCCTATGATCCGTGCCTTTACATCAAGATTGTGGACGGTCACTGCGTACTATTGCTGGTCTACGTGGACGATGTGCTGGTGACTGGGAGCTCGACCGAACTCATTGCGTGTACCAAGAGCGACCTCAAGACGCGCTTCGAGATGACCGACAGTGGCAAGTGTGCTTTTGTGTTGGGCATAAAACTGGTCGAAAACGCTGACAATAGCGTGACGATGTGCCAGATATGCTATGTGGATGACATCTGAAGCGCTTTGGGACGGAAGACTACAAGGCTGCAATAAGCCCAGCTGATGTGAGCACTCGGCTGACTCGAAGCGATCCATCAACCAAGGTAAATGCTCCAGTTTGAGAAGCCGTACCTTTACGTGACGGCTTAAATAGCCAGAAGATATACTACACGTCTCAAGAGAATAAAAAAGAAAGGGAAAGAAAAGATCTAGAGTGGATAATGGCAGTTTTAAGCGCCAGTGGTTACTACGATTGCGAGAAGGATTATCGCGCTATCCACCGCCCTCAATCCAGACCCCATCACGATCAAGATCGAAGCAAGTTCACCGAGGAGAGTGAAAATTGCCCAGTCGACGCACAACAAGGTAAGGAAGGTCTAGCATACGGTATTGGAGTACCCCTCTGTCAGTCGACAGTTCGGGCGCCAATGGGAGGTCGGAATCACAGAGAGTTTTTCTTGATCACCGCTCCACTACAGAGTCGCCAGATGCATCAGAGGACCAATAACTGCAAGAAACGAGGCATTGATATTGGAAGTTGCGTCGCTCGAAACAAGTCGATGGCTCATGTCAACTAAGCTTACCACAGCCTTTTAATAATCCATACAGAAGCACTTGAGGATGTCATTTATATACCGACGCTGACACATTGTCACGCTTCCATCTGCACCATCCAAAAGCTCTAATTCAAATTTAAATGCTTACTTTGTCGATATCTGTCATCGCAAAGCGCGTCTTCAGATCGATTTGGGTGCGTGCAATCAGCGCGAGCGAGCTTCCGATCACCAAATTGTCAGCCACATATATCAACACCAACAGACATTGGTTCTTCATGATCTTGATATAGAGACACGGGTCATATCCCGACACTGAAACCCAATAGAACACACAAACTAGTCAAACGTCTTATTCTACGAGCATGAAGCTTCAGGCCGTAAAGTGCCTTCGCCAATTCCAGACAGTCGAAATCTTCATACAGATCAACACCTTCAAGAATCACGCAAAACACTTGTACTTTCATCACGCCATACAGGCATGCAGTCATCACATCGAGTTCGTATACGTTGCTCCAAAAACCGTTGAGCTTTAGGTATGGTCACACGGAGGGTGTGAACCTAATGTGGTATGGCAACCATGTACACCTTTATGTAAACTCGTTACATATAACCTCTTGAGACATTTTCACGACATTATCCTTTTTTATAATGTGGTCGAATAATGTCTATCTAAATAATATTCGCATTGACACCTAATGATAGTTTTATATCTGTAAGCAATATTATTAATGTTATCCACTGTTGCAACGAGAGCGCGTAATAGCTGTGTCAAGCCGTGATTTGATCAATTATTATCCAAAATCGGTATACCAAAATCAGTAGCTGATATGAGCGGTAAGTGGACCACATTAATATATGCATTTTTACAAGACCCACTTCCAATTTACAGATCGCGTGAACAGGACACAATGAAACTCGTCAGGTGCGTTTACGTCGCCATCACCACGAGACAAAGAGATAGCCAATGAGAATGAATCCCCTGTAAATGTAACAATATTTTAATACGCTTCTTTCTTGATCTTTTTACTGTAGGTTTTTAATGAAGCTTTCAAATGAAACAGTCACTATCGAGCTTAAAAATGGAACTATCGTCCACGGGACAATTACTGGTACGGCCGAGGACATGCACGAAATATATACAAATCAATAATGTATCAATGTGTTATTTATGCTCTGGATGAGGCTGTAACTTTTGTTTTGTTCTATTGTGCAACAGGTGTGGATATCAGCATGAACACACACTTGAAAGCGGTCAAAATGACGGTAAAGGGCAAGAATCCCGTGAGTCTGGACTCGCTAAGTATTCGTGGCAACAACATTCGCTACTACATATTGCCGGACTCGTTGAACCTTGACACGCTACTTATCGACGACACTCCGCGCGAGAAAGTGAAAGCGGGTGCTCCTGCAGGAAGCGGACGTGGACGTGGGCGAGGCCGTGGTCGCGGACGCGGACGTCCATAATAGATGAGTTGCAAGCTGAGTCTTGACTATTAGAAGAAGCTAGTGGTAAAGAAGAGATGCATTGTGAAAGAGCGTAGAGATAAAGTACTGGAGTGGAGGTGAGATCGTGAGATTTGGAGGAAATGACAAGCAGAACTTGTCAGGACTACAGTTCCGCATGACAGTAGATGCAGCAGATAAGAACTTTTCTTTTTTAAGTTATAAGGGACTTCATTTGCGTACGAGTGATGAGGAAAATGCGTATTTATGACCTAGAACAGAAGTGAATGATGCTCTGATACAATGCCGCAGTCGTAGATTCTTGTTGTTAACGACTGAATCAAGTTTACCCATTTGATATTCATAACATGATCGGTTGTATATATGACATTCATGTATGTATGTACAAGTGAATCGCGGTGTTTGTCAACCAGTACTCTTCATATAACGCACTTAATCGAATCACTCCGTTTTACTATTAATGTAGTCAAAATGACGCAACAAAACAAGCGCAAGACTGACGAGGCTACCGCCGATGCGAACGCTAGCAACTTTCTTGAAGACGCACAGCGCTCAGTAGACTTTCTATTCTCTTCAGTTGTTGTATTACCAGGTGATGATGTAACCTCTACACTCACAAAAACTACACGTTGTGTGAAACTTGGTGCGTTATCTCCTCTAGTATCGATCTACCGAATTGGAGGAGAAGAGAGATCGATAGAAGTAATAATGACAGTATGATTGTATCTGATACGATTATCTTTGTTCCTTCTAGGTGCTGGACTTAAACAGTTACCAAACGATCAGATTATATGCACAAATGCAGGCGTTCTCCGGTATCGTCCTGCTAATCGCTATTGGGTTGAGTTCAATCACAAGCGTGTACGTAGAATATATCTGTTATTGCTCTTCTACATTAGAAATCCTCACTTGATTATCTACTTGTGTGCTTTATGAACGTATATGTGGTCGTGCTGAACAGTACGTTGCATCAATAGACGACGGCGTCATTGGCGTTGTAACTGATCGTAACGCCGAGTTCTACCGTGTGAATATTGGAGCTGCGTACGTTCGTTTTTGTTCTTTGGCTGCATCGATGATGAAAGCCTTTGATCTTGCCTGTAGTTGATTTTTGAGCGAGGTTGTGTGATGTATTGTCTTTATTGCTAATCATTTTTTTACTCAGTGCAAGCGCTACATTGGGCTCGCTAGCGTTTGATGGTGCTACAAAGCGGAATCGACCTAGCCTTCGTCTTGGATCACTTGTTTATGCTCGTGTGAGCAAGGTTAACCCAAATGTGGAGCCTGAAATTACGTGCGAAGGTACGTAACGTTATTAGCTGTAATGCCCCTGCAGTGAACTAAGCATGCATTGCATTCGTATTGTAGCACCTCCAAGCGTTACTAAGAAAGACTGGATGACTGGTTTGGCCATTTACGGAGAGTTGATTGATGGATACGTATTCAAGACGTCCATTGGCTTAGCAAAGTCGCTGCTGCGTGAAGAGTGCCAGGTGTTAGCGTCTTTGGGCAAGAGTTTGGCCTTTGAGGTAGCTATTGGAGTCAACGGCGTCGTGTGGGTTAACTCGAAGACTACAAAGAACATTATAATCATTTCCAATGCCATCATGAACTCGGAGACAATGTCTCCTAGCGAGATCGATGCTATGGTTTCTCGGCTTGTTGAAGATGCCGATGATGCTTAAATCAAGAAGAATAGACACTAGACCCACTTCATGTTTTGCAAAAAGCCGAAAGGTGCATTCGGCTGCCACAATTTGCTGTGCCGCAGCCGTTCATTCTGCTTCAAATACCTCTATCGACCTTCAGATCCCGACGTATCTTTTCATTCTGATAGCTCGAGAGGCGACTGCTTCACGAAAAAGCTTATACACGTACTCTTGTCTTTCGATAACATAATGTCTGCAAATGATGGCGATCAGAGATGATAGTAAAGTGCAGCTATGAACCGCGGCAGGTGTTTGACCACCTTTGCATACGTACAAGGGGCGGCGTCAAAGTGTGGAGCCTATGTCATGGCGTCCGTATTGTATTATACAAAGAATTAAGGTGTATTACAAGATAAGCTGCGCAAAGCTCATTAGACTGGAGAAAGATGTGGCTAACCGACAGCAATACAAAGCAGTAGTAGCAGTGCAGCCATGTGATCAAGAATGAGGACCTGTACGAGGGCACTAGAGGCGCTGAAGAGGTGCGCTTAAAAAACACAAACGTGGACGATGTCGTGGTAATAGCTGCGCTCCATATTCATCGCAATTTGCTCGACAGGACTGAGCTGGGAAGCGGTCTAATCTCTGTCTTGCTATCCAATACATGATGTACATAACAAGAATTGCGATGACATCACACCACCGATGAAGCCATAGCTATGCTCTTATGCGCTACACGGCCAATGCATATTGATCCTTACCTCGAGCGAAAGTGAAAGTGCAGGAATGTGTAAGATATTCCGAGCCATCGTATGTACCCAGCAGTAGGCACATATTGACGTGTCGATCGATATATGCATAGTATGATTACCAAAATGGTGGTTCACACGTGCCTCAGCGATCACATCACCAGTCTTGAACAATCACAACAGCACATTACAGATAAAATGTAATGATATGTGCTCGTGACTTGTAAACGCCACGAGAAAATATCGACAAGTAACTTCACAAGAAACGTACTTTCTTTGTGCTTATGTCTCTCTCATCATGCATCTCCTACCACTTCTCTTTGCTACAGACGGCATAAATTCATCCCTATGCTAGAAATGGCTAGATCAGCTGATGGGGCAAACAAATAGCTTAGCCCAGCGTCAGACCCAAGCCAAACTTGTGAGAGTCTCCTTCAAAGTTCTTTGCGTCCACATGCACGCTAGTGGTCAATGTGACGTGCGGACGCACCCTCTGGATCGAAGCCAGCGACAAGAAACCCTCTGAATCAATCTTGCCACAATATGTGGTGTCACCATCGGCCCTGTACCGACCACCAACGACTAGCGTGTTGGAAGCCGACTTAAGATCATAGTCCAACACAGCAGCGTACACCGTCTTGTGCGACAAATGGTGGTGGAACGAGGCCTGCACGGCGGCAAAGTTCTTTTTAGTTACAAGAGATGTGACGAAATCTACACCCGTGATACTAACTCCCACATTGTGTTGCACAATGGACGACTTGTCCACGTTGAAGGCGGTCTGACCACCCACAGCAAAGCCTCCTTGCGAAAGCACGACAGCACTTGAGACTGTGTTGGATACAAAGTCCGCTTCCGAGTTCACGGCCATGTTCTTTTGCTTGTACTCAGCACCAAGCACACTAATTTGTTTCGCACTCGTGTTTTTGGTAACAGAGCCATCTTCAAGCTTAAAAGTAAGCTTCAGACCTTCGGTCAGCACATTTGGTAGTTCAGCCTCAGCAACAAAACGGCCTTGGGTCGTAATTTGAAGCTTCTTAAAGACGACACCACTGGCATCGTGCGTAAAGCCACTAGATACCTTGGCCAGAATCGATTTGTTGCCATTCAATGCGCCTTCTGTCGTAAACGACACGCCATTGGATGCTTGGCTCTTAATCTTTAGTTTACGTGAGAAATCATAATCATCACGTAGAACATTCTCCGCTGTCTTGGCTAGATCTTTGAATAAAACAACCATTAGGCTAGATTATCGTCTTTCCACTTAGTATTAGCTACTACTACCACTCACTGCTTTACTTTGGAAATGACAAACGACCCTCAGACTCACTCAATCAGTCAGTCACATGCAGCTAGCGCCACACAAAATCTCCCCCCTTTTCGTCTTATTTATAAGCGTACCTAAGCGAGCACTGATGGTAGAAGTACCAACCACATCATATATACATAAGAACAACAATCACATTATCAATGATATCACTGTAGTCCAAGAAATCTGTCAGTAGCGCACCTGACACTTCCTTAAACACACAACACTACTTTCATTTGCAAATGATTGTAATTATCGTATGGATAGTTAACTGCACATACGTAAGCTGCTTGCTTCCAGTGTGTAGCAATCTATCTACGCAAGGTTTGAATGACAATATGATATGTCATCTTCAGAAGCGACCGAGGAGAAACGCCTCATACAATCAGCTATGTTGCAAGCAAGGGATCGTTTGAAAGGCACTGCCAACAGTTATAAAGAGAGGTATAATTCATCATTTGAGGTGAAGTAGGTGCACAATGAGAGTTTTGTCTAGTGTCAGGTCAATAAAGAGAAAGTCATATCGAATGTACGGCGAATCCAAACTGCGAAAAACAACCAGCGTGTGAGTGCAAACCGTATAACTTGGGTTGAGTATATAATGTTTTCTCTACATTTCGTACTTATCCGAGACAATCCTTTATGCCTCCTGCCTCACAATGTCATTCACAAAAAGGATTTACTCATACAAACAAACATAGGAAATAATGGTCGTACTATATAAAGACATTGCTAATAAAGCAGAGAATGTCCTTCGTGATGACTATGACTTCTCCCGCAAGCTCAAAATTAAGACTAAAGCAGCAAATGGTGTCACTTTTACAACCGAGGGTGATATGGCTAGCAACAAGGCCATCCTTGCAAAGCTCTCGGGGACTTTTACGCATCAAAGCACTGGTGTCGTATTCAAGAAGCTACAGGTGACCACTCACGGTCGGCTGATCTCTGAGGTTGAACTGCCTGATGTCTTTACTAGGGGACTTAAGCTCACGGCAAAGGTAGAGGACGGTTCGCTTGCCAAGAACGCGCACGCTAAGCGCATTGGCGTCTTTGGCTGGGAGTATCAGCAGTGGAGATACTCTGTGAACGGCGCCATTGATGTAGGGGCCCGCACAATCAGCAAATCTATCGCCTATGGCTTTGACAACGTTCTGGTCGGTGCCCAAGCCGCCTACAACTACAACAAGTCGGCGGTCGTAGACCACAACGTGGCTCTGAGCTACCGTGGCAGCGACTTTACCGCTACGCTGCAGACTAAGAAGAAATTCAACGCGCTTTCCGGTTCATTCCATCATCATCTGTCCCGTGACACCGTCTATGCGGCCGTGTTCAATTACGACCTCAAGTCGGGCCAGAACACACTCAGTGTGGGCGGCCGTTACAATGCTGACAAGCTTACCACGTACGCCGGTAAGGTCGAATCCGATGGCCATGTTTCTTTGGCTTTGATCCAGAAGATTCGCCCCTTTGTGGCGCTGACTACGAGCGCCCATGTGGACGTCAAGAACTTTGATGGTGATGCTCACAAATTTGGCATTGGTCTCACTCTTGGCTAAGCAATTGGAATATTGCAACGTAGACGTGTGTGTCCGAGAGATACCTTCGTTGGTCAAGACGAGTGAATCTCACTATTGTTCTTCCTGTTGGTAGAAATTCACACCTCTATGTAAATGCCGTAATGATGGTGTTGACCACATATTTGTGTCATTTTCTAGATCAAATCGTAGAATTTCTTCTCTCTCGGCCCTTTCATAGCCAATCGCACTTTATAACAACGATAAGCATGAGCGAAACAGACCGTTTTGATAGCATGTTGCTGGCCATTGCACAGTCCCAGCATGGCATTGAGCCACTGCTGGACACGGTGTTTTCATTTCTTCGTCGTAAGACTGATTTTTTTTCAGGTGCCAAACCGCAGGTGATTGAAGATACGGTCCTTAAGAGCGTACGCAAACAAGCATCACTTGCCGAGAAGGATCAATTGTATAAAAAGCAACAAGAACAGAAGAAGAGACAGAAGCAGGAAGCGTTACGTAAGGGATCAGATCTAGACAAGAAACAGAAGAAGGAAACGGAGAATGACACCAAGAGCTCGTCGCGTTTTGAGGAAATCACTGACGATGACGACAAAATAGAGACTACAAACACGAAGAAATCATCGAAGGAGACGAAGATTGCTGCAGATAAAGCAGGAGAAGACAATGGACCACGTGTGTTGGCTGTATAGACCTTTATCAAGGCTGTAGCTGTCGATCTGCTTTTGTTTTCAGACTCTGCTAACTGTCCAATGTTGTGTATTAATATTTATTGCATGTGCGGCTGTAGCGCTTGTTGGAAATGGAGGTCAGACGGATAAGTATGTGTGGACGCAAACATTACAGGAAGCTCAAGTCAATTTTGCGGTTCCTGAAGGTACGAAGTCGCGACAGGTAGACGTGGATCTTCGTGCGGAAAAGCTGAGGGTCGGGCTGCGAGGTGGTGAAACATTTGTTGATGGACGTCTGTACAACAAGGTGAAGGTAGATGACAGCTTTTGGACTTTGGAAGATGGCAACCGTATTTGCGTTTACCTGCTAAAGGACAACCAGATGGAGTGGTGGAAGACTATAATTCAGGGAGACCCCGAGATTGACACGCAAAAAGTACAGCCAGAGAACTCGAAGCTCGGTGACCTAGACTCGGCTACGCGCCAAACTGTGGAGAAAATGATGTTTGATCAGCGTCAGAAGGCACTGGGTCTTCCCACTAGCGACGATGTGCAAAAACAAGATATTTTGCAAAAGTTCATGGCGCAGCACCCAGAAATGGACTTCAGCAAAGCTAAAATCAACTGATAGCCACACCAAAGCAAAGGATGATTGAGTTGTGAAACTTCACGTGCTGATCAAATAACATAACATTGGTGCCCAAACCTTTTCTGCGCGTTATCTGTAGGTGATTTTTGGATCAAAGTCTTCAGAGTTGGCGGCAACAATAGTGAAATTATGATGCCATCTACCTCTTTGTACGCATGAAAGCGCTGAAAGTCGTCACCGTGTCGTGTCTGTAGCAATGCAATCAAACATCAGAGCAATAGCGCTGCAAAATAAACAACGTGTCGACAAGAAGCTCAGTAGTATGATAAGGCTGCTGAATGGCTTGAGTGATCAGCATTTCACATTTTTAGGAACGAAAAAATATCGAGAAAAGAACGACAGTGACACTGATCGCTTCACAATCAGACATTAAGTCGTTTTGTGAACGTGCATGTCTTTCCTGACACGCACTTACTTATCTTGTTTAGTTTTTACTATTTGCGTAATGCTGAAGGTAATTTTGCATGAATGATACGTTCTATGGGCATGTTGATCTGCAGTATATGTGTATTATGAATAGCAGACCGTAGAAGTATCTTAGCAAATACAAAGACAACGATTCCGTGGTACGCATTTCTTCATCACTGTGGCTATAAAGATGATATATTATTGTTTATTGTTTGAGCTTTACCATGCCGTAAGCTTCCTCTCATCTCTTCAAGTAAAGCAGGAAGCGCGGTGCGCTTATATTCTAGACGTTAAAACTCTCTCCACAACCACAGCTTCCCTTGGCGTTCGGATTCTCAAACACGAATTCGGATGAGACTGGTGTCACCTGCACAAAAAGAAACTATCAGACAAGTTACACGGGTCAATAGACATGCCATTTAACCCAACCTGAAAGTCCATGGTTGTGCCAACCACATGGAATAGCGCCTTAGGCTCGACAAATACACGGACACCTATAAAAATCATAACAAGCATAGGTCAATCTCACCAATAAGCCAAGTCACTCCCTCCTTGTGATATGATTACTACTCACCATTCTTGCATACTTCCTCCTCCATTTTCTCTTTCTTTTCAGCATAATTCATAGTGTATGATAGACCATTACAACCACCTATATAGTGTATCACCATTCACAACATATCAGTCTTATTCTTACGATGTGCACCATTACTACCAAGACACATTCATTCATTGCAGCCATGTACTTACGCGTTTTAACCCCTAAACGAATCCCAATAGCGTCAGGTTTACTGTCCAAAAGCTCCTTTATACGAATTACAGCAGCTTCCGTCTATAAAAACAACATAGATTGCAATATAATCACGAGTGTTAGCGTATTACATGACAATCCCATAGTAACAATTCCTATAGAACTACACTACAAACAAACCAGATTCAATGGCGGTGGTAGTTCTCGCAAACGTCGACGCGTAGATGAAGTTGTTTGATCCACTACAGTTGACAAGAAGCGTGATGTAAAAGCATATTTATGTCGTAACACGGAGCGGAAGAAGGGCGTCATACTAAAGAATGACCTTATTCCGACGACTTTTAGTTGCAGAAAATACCTATACAATACCGGTAAGCACCGGGACAGCTTTACTGTATAAGCTCTCGTAAGTACGATACATAACGGCTACATTATGACCATGTCTAATTTTAATGTATAAAATAGCTGGCGGAGGCTTCTTACTGTAAACTTGCTTTAGCAACCCTAATTACTGCTTCAGTAGAAAACCATCAAGGTGTATAGCACTTTGCCACTAAGCAGTCCAGTAAGTCTTGGTCGCGTGCTTAGAATTGCGAATGATACAGCGTGAGCTTTTGGATTTGAACGAGGTCTTTGACGATCGACTGACTTTGCAGACAACAATTTGAATCGCCAGAAACTTGCCGCAATCTTGATCTATGTCGACTAAACTGCGTCTTTTGTCACAATGCAACACAAAGATTGCCAAAAAATCTCATCCATGGTATCAGTCAGACATGTATTTTCTCATGAGAGACGTCTCCAAATAAAACAAACAACGTCCTTGATTCCTGTATTCCAAGTGACGTCAATCGACATGTATTAAATTGTATTTGCCATAAACCCAGCTCTCATTTGTTCCTGCTCTAAATGCTCTTCCGCATCTGCTCGACATCTAATACGGGTCTGTTTCATTAAGCCACTTCTCTAGTCCCTTAAGTGGTTTTGACTGCTTCAATGCCTTCTTGTGCTCTGCAATCTTACTGGGCATAGCTGCTAGTGCCGCTTGCACCTTTTTAACACTATTGACAAGTATCAAACAAACAATACATGGTCAGCTCTGTTCTTTCATGCTGTTCTAATCGAAGACACCAGCATATAAACAGCAATCCAATCTCTTACCGTTCAAACTCATTGCGCTGAGATTTATGTCCCTTAAGCGGTCGCATCACGTGATGTTTCTGCGGTCGATCCCATGTCTCAAGCCAACCGCCTTTGCCTTCCTCCCACATCCCTACGAGGTTATTACGCACTGCGTATTTTTTCACCATGGCAATCTTTCGACCAGAAATCATCGGCTGTTTCCATTTTCCTTCTACTAATTTGGGTTTCATGGCCGCTTCGGCCTCGGCAACACTTAATCGAAGAAATCGCTGTATACCGCTCATAGTTGTCACTATGATCACGAATCAATAATATTGTATGAAATTAGCGGCTTGTATGCGTTTGATTATCCACCAATCAAAAAATGTGTGCAATTTAATTTTAACAAATAGAAACACATCCACACAAGTATCGCACCAATACACGATGGCGTCCATTGCCCCGCAGATGACGATGAACCGAGCGTATGCGGCACCACAGCAATTCCAAAAGCCACAAGATACAAAGCAGATTACTACAGAGCAAATACAGGTCATTTTTTTGTCCTGTGTTATACACTTGCAGTCTTTTTGTAGCCTTCTTCTCACTGAAAATATCTCTCGATTTTATATTGCAGGCCATGCTGGATGAAAATTCGAGTCTTATTGTGGAGATTATTGAGCTAAATACGCAGATAAAACATGGAAAAGGGACGGCACAACTAGGAGAATTTACAGAAAAATTGGACAAGAAGCGCAAACACCTCAACAAAAATCTTATGACGCTGGCCAAGTGGGCAGACGAATCTTCCGAGATATCCCCAAGACAGCCGCAGGTCTATGGACAATCTCAAATGGCTCAACAGCAGCAGCAACAACAGCAACAGCAATACGCTCGGACAGGAATGATGCAGATGCCTATGACTAACCAAACACAGTACCAGGTACAAGCTGAGGCACAAGCGAGAGCCCAAGCTCAGGCGCAGGCCCAAGCACGACTTCAAGCTCAAGCGCAAGCCCAGGCTCAAGCATATGCACAGGCTCAATATCAGGCACGGATGAACCCAATGATGACTCAGCAATATGGTCAGATGAATCCGATGGCTCAACAGCAGCAACAGCAGCAGCAGCACCAACAACAACAGCAACAACAACAGCAACAGCAACAGCGGTTTGCTAATGGTAGTATGTCATACGGCGTTCCTGGTAGCGGACCGATGTCCCACAGTGTTCGAATGAGCAACGCCATGCCAATTGCCCCAAGCTACACTGACAACCGAGGCGGCATGGCGCCCAACATGGGCTATCAAATGGGGCCTCAGGGCTATGGCATGGCGCCATCTGCACAGATGCAGCGCTTGAACCCAGAAACGCAAGGAATGCCTCAGCAAAGTATTTCGCACCAGGGTATGGCTTTGCCTCTGCAAAGTATGAACATGCCGCAACAGAGCATGGCGATGCCCCAACAAAACATTGCGATGCCACAGCAGAGTATGGTAACGTCTCAACAACCGATGTCTATGGGTCAACCGAATATGCAAATGACCCAACAGAGTATGCAAATGCCTCAACAAGGCATGACACCAATGCAGATGAATGGACCATCGAATTCAAACGCTATGGCAGATGTCTCTGGTCTGTCGAGCAATTAACTACTGGGACAGATACTTCAAATGGTAGATAACGCTATTTTGAAGAGAGATACAACCCATTGTGCATGTTGTTTCTTCATTTTCTTGATTATCGTGATGCCTTTGAGTCATGTAAACATTGGGGTAATATTGTTATCAGATCAGAAAACACGTGTTATCAGAACATGCAATTTATTCTAGCCATTTTATTGGTGCTACTTCAGTGAAGTAAACTTAAAAAAACGACTTTTAAAGTTTTGGCGGGAGGTGCATCTGACCTTTTGACGTCATTCGTATCTGCTGCTGTTTTCTTATGGCGTCTCAAGGCTTTTCTTCTTATTTAAATGGCTCTACTTCAGAGACAATTGACGATGTATGCCGTCAGGACACTGTTACTTGTATGAGCTTTGAACAGCAATCACTTGTTGAGGAAATTGATACCGAAGTAGATGACGATGATTTTGATAAAAAAGCACATTGGTCTAGACGAACGATGAGGAAAAATGCTCGATCGTCACCAAGACCGACTGAAAGAACAGACAAATTCCAGCCATCTATTGCACTCTTTTGTGTCAAGGAACAAGCGATCTCCATAGTCAAGAAAAAAGAAGTAGAAGAGGAGAAAGATGTCATGGCCAGTTCGATTGCAATCTCGAAGCTGGAAAAAAGTGAAGCAAAGAAGAAGAAGAGAAGAGAGACGACAAAGAAGAAAAAGGCGGAGAGCTCGGGACTCGAGTTTGACTCAGTAGCTGACACTAGAGGAAAGGGAATTGACACTAGTGTTGTGACGAGCGCTGGACGACCGAAACGAAAAGCAGCAATCCAGGCAGAGATCCTACAGCAACAACAAAAGCTTTTGGATGCTGTTGCTGCCAGGAAAGAAGCAGCCTACTTTTTGACACCTCCACCATCAAACAAGAAGAAAGCCGAGGGAAATGCGACAACTAGCGGGCGTAAAAGAAAACTTGAAATGTACAAGAAGAAGATGTCGTCGCCTGCAAAGGGAGAATCAACGAATAATTCACTGGGTGCGAACAAGACAGCTCAGTCATTCTTTTTGAGTGAACAGGTAAGAAAACAGCTGCAAGAGATCGAAGCAGTGTCATCGTTCCGAGAACAGCTTCGGCAGACACGTGAAAAAGATCTTGCTTTTTTCGCCGGTATAACGGCTAACCCGTTTTTCCAGGCGCGAACTTCTACCAAACCAAGCAGCAGTGAAGAAAATGAAGAAGGAGTTGTTGAAATTTGCGACGATGGTGAAGGTACTGGTGAGGCAAAGCAACAGCGAGATAGAGATAGAGGTCGCTGGAGTAAATCGTTTACGCTGTTTCCTCGGATGCAGCATGTATCAACCGTATGTTTAGAAGCAGAAGATATGGGAACAGCTGCCAAGAAATCGTTGCCACCAAAGAGAGCGTTGCCTGCAACATATACATCTTCTGTGGTCGTAGTCAGTGACAATGATGTAGCAGTAGATAGCAGGTTACCAACCGAAGTAATGTCGCAGCTACAAGCTGCCATGAATGGGCAAGTGATCACTGAATCTTCGTTTTCCGAACAGTTTTGGTTTCGCGAGTTCTTGGATGCCTCCAGCTTACCACCCCCAATTGTCAAGCTTATCGATGTTACTTCTCCACGTGCTGAAGATATTGCAGACACCACAGCTGAAGAACTGGCGGAAAGAAAAACCTTGCTCATTGATGAATTAGTTGAGATGCATGGCATGCGTGAGAAGCGAGTGCGTGAGCTTCTTGACGGGCTTGAACAGGCCAGGGCAAAACACTTGGGTCGCGAACAAAACTTGTCTTTGGTGGATCGTTACTTACCAGTGAATGCTAGTGGCCTTGTAGGCAATCGCGAGTCACTTCACACGTTGTCATCGTGGTTGAGTGCTTGGAAAGTGGGTGGTGGCGATCGTCAAAAGCTCGATTGTCTGCACTCGGAACTGGTCACACTTGACGATGGCGATAGCGATAAAGAGAGCGAGGTTGGTGACCTGTGTCGTTTATTCGTTTTGGAGGGCGAGTCGGGCTCGGGCAAATCGGCAGCTGTTTATGCATGCGCCGAGGAGCTGGGCTACAATATCATTGAGATTAACGCAGCTCAAAATCGTTCCGGAAAGAGTGTTGTGGAGCTTGCTGGTGAAGCCACACAGTCTACACGCGTTTTGCACGTGGGTACGAAAGAAGACAAGCGTATAAAGAAGCTTAAGAAAAAGCGGAGGAGGCACTCAGAAAGCCGCAAGAGTTTAGAGCAGCCAACAGCAGCGTCATTGTCACTGGTGATGTTTGAAGATGTAGATCTGGTCTTTGACGAAGACAAAGGCTTCCTCAATGCTGTTTGTTCTATCGCTAAGCATTCGAAGTGCCCTATTGTCGTGACGTGCGCACAGTTGCCGGATACGTTTCCCACCAAACCCGGACGTCTGTATCGTGAGCTTCACAAGCCTTCGATCGATGAGTTTGCAACATGGATGCGTCTGGTAGCCTTCATCGAAGGGCTGCAACTGGCACCATCTCTTGTTAACGTACTAGGTAAGTTTTTCAAACGGGATGTCCGTCGTTCACTGCATTTCCTAGAGGCAAATTTGCCGGTTTCTGATCCAAGTACGAAGACTCTGTGGCAATGGCAGCACGACAATGCAGATAGCAACGGTGCTGTCCATGTTTCTGTTCCTGCTTGGACCACATGGTCAGCAGGTTGCTCGTCGTTTGATGCTATGACAAGTAATTTGCTATTAGAGCTCAGCGCTGCTGCTGAATTAGAGAAAAAGAAAGTCGAGGACCAAAGCTGCAAAGAAAAACAAGCGGAAGTTGATGCTATGGTGGAGTTAGCGCAAATTATAGATTTTGCATCGATTGCAGAAGTGTGGATGGCATCCGCTATGGCTGATGGATTCGACAGTGATGATACTGAGGTACGGACAATGTGTCAGAATGTTTGCTTGTTGGTTTCTCACACCAGTGATCTGCTGCCAACTCATGACAGAATTCGTTCTTTCTGGCCGAGCGTCAACGTCTTGCCGCATTGGAGCTGAGACGTTCTAGTCTTCAAATGCTAGGATCGTTGTCGAGTCCTCTTGGTACGTCGTTGATGCAGGGCCAGAAACCTGTCGCCTCCAAATGCGTTCAGCGGACATTAGATTGCGCTCTAGCAGCATCCAGTCGACGTTGTCACCAGATAGCGTTAGCAGAGCTGAAATCAAAGTTTGACGTCCCACTTGCCTACAAAGGGTGCGTTTTCGACTCGGTTGTGATGCTGTTGCCGATGTGACCTCACGCTCTGTCTTCCTATTGCAGATGTGGAAACTCGGAGCCTCATTTTGCGCTCGACTATATGCCAATGGTAGGACGTCTTCTATCCAGTACCGGTTTGCAAGAAGGACGACGACGGACATCCCGACGGAACCATTATTTAGGTGACGTGTTGGGGGACATGAGCCTAATTGACGAATTGCCAGCCTTTGACACGTACTTGCAGTCTAATGTGGACCAAATCGTTGCTGCATCCCCGACATTTACACAGTAGAAAGCGCAAGTTATCAGCATTTGACGGCAAAAGATGAATTGGCCTTGTGTCCTTTCAGTAACGTTGTAATCATCAACAACTCTTTTTCATCTTGTTGTTCTTCTCGCCTTGTTCTCTGATCTGCCTCGACCACCGCAAGTTACCACACCCACAATCGATGTCTCTTATCTATTCTGTCGTCTTCTTCATCTTTGTCACAACACGCTTAGAGCCCTTACCAGCAAGATCCTTAGTCGACATATCCACTTGTCTTGTCTTGATAATTTGGCTTAAAGATGCATGAAATGATACATGATTCATGACTGTCACCTGAATAGACCATCAAAGAACAAGAAGAGATACACACATTAATCCTTTGATATGATCAAGATACAAGATATGTATACAGTTATTACCAATGTACTGTATTTCTTCTTATGCTTGTTATTACCATATTTACAAGCACGAAATAACAACACATGATCGCCATCTTCTACTGTGAATTTCTGAATTTGGTGCTGAATTTTACCATTTACTTTGGTCACAGGTACTAGTAGAATAGATTACGTTTGAAGGTGAGATGATTTATATATTTATATATATAGTAATCAAAATTCGATCATAAACTTGATAAAAAGACGCACCATCCTTGCAAGAAATAGCTACTGAACCTTGTGGTTCTGCATAAAATTCCATTACTTTAGTCAGAAATGTGTCTGTACTTACTAGTACCATCTTTTCAATTTGTGCGGTAAATAGCATCAAACCTTTAGAAACGAATATTACAAGAAAAAAGATGATCAAGAACGACCAGCACTGAATAGACTGGATGGATTATTTATTCAAATAAGATCTCTTCTTCTTCTCTCTGTCTTCTTCTTACTCAACTAATGCAATATCCAGCAAATCACCGGGATGAAAACGTACACTAGCAAGTGTTTTACTATCATCTGCACATCGACGACGACTACTATTTACATACCCAACTTTGCGCATGAGCAATCTACTAATAATCCCCAATCAGACTTATTCGATCAGATTAACTCTCACAGCAATAGTAATGTGTATAGAATAGGTAGTTCCTACCTTCCATCTCTTGTTTCTGATACAACACAAATACTCAGACGCATATTGGGCTTCTGAGCGTCAGTATTCGAATCCTGCACTAGATCAGCCATCTCCCGCAGCGTTGCATCAGGCCTGTGTATCAAAAGATACTTATTCAGCCACGAGATAACAGATAGCAATAACAGCAATAACGCTGCTATATCATGAACGTACCACGTGTAAATATGGAGTTCATTAGCAATTGGTTTGTCTTCTAGAGTCTCAAACGCATCACTTCTGCATGAAAGAATGATCAGCATAGGTTGAATACAGTTCATGGTGAATAAGTCACTGCCAAATATCATTATAAAGCTTCTTCATAGCAAGATAATCCTATAAATTATATCCTGCCTATTATGTGCTCCCTTGCTAAAGAAAACTCGTAATAGAAACGGGCAGTGCTTCTCGCGATTGATAGTACGTTCCTCGGGCATTTTGACTGCTAAGAAATGTATGATAACTGATACTGTATGCATCACCTTATAAACGGATTCAAAAGGGTATGCTCGATGATAGGATTAGTATCAAGCCGTGGACAGCCAAACTCCCGACTAAAATGGCAGCGCGTAATGTCGTTCGGTTTCTTAAGTCAGCCAACGTTTCTTTCTCTAATTTTGACCAAAGGGCAACTGGTGCTTGGTACGATATTGTCTCTCTTGTGTATTTTGTAGTGTAAATCGTCATTTCCTAATGTCTTTGACAATTGTTTTGCAACTCTAAACCTTTTCCAGTGAATTCTTTCGGCAGATGACAGCAGAGAAGGTTTGAGCATTGTCATGCTAATGAGAAGGATGCAAAAGTATTAACTAGTGTTACGGACTGACTGTGTTTTATATGATTTGATAGACGCGTAAAATCAACCCCAAGGCAGAGATTGTCCAGCATACAACTGCAGTGGGCTCAGTGCCTACCATTAAACTCGACTTCAGTACGTTGTTTGTTTGTTTGTAGTTGATAAGACATGCTAGGATACTTATTTTCTATTGCAATTTGTAATCAATGCAATGTAGTCAATGGAAGTAAACATGTAATGGAGGTGCCTAATAAGGATGTTCGTGCAATCTTTGAAGATGTGGACTTTTACTGCTCGCAGATTGAGACGGAGTACGAGAAGCAGGGCAAGTCGATTGATTAGACAGTAGCCAAAGGGACAAGTCACTGTTTATCTTAAAGAATGAGCAGACATTTTTTACCTCATTTTGAAACTGTAAGGACTGATGAAGCTTTGTTGGTGGGTTGTGATGTTCATTTACATACCAAGATTGGTTACTGCGCGTCAACAAGTGCAATCTCAGCTTGCACTTCTTCGTCAAACTTTGGCTGTAACGTGTACAGATTCAGCGCTTTTGCACGTTCGATTGAAAACTGCAGTAAATGGTCTCTACACCCGCGACTAGAGCCTAATGGAAGCAAATACATGACAGTCTTAGACGATGGAACAACAAGCAAGTACCTCTCACAGCCAAACTGTTCGTACCGCACACGCGAACGACTCGGATACTGACGTCTTGGTTGTGTACATCCGTCACGAATATTAACGATGTCTCGACCATTTTGCACATTTCACGTGCACATCGAATGACTGCTGCTCTAGTGTGCGTATTGTAATAGAGTACTAGACCAAGAGCAGTTGAGTTAAAAAGTCCGTCCGTATCGTGACGAATACAATTACTCAAGAGCGTCGTGTGACGTCTGACTCACCTTGGAAAGCATATTGAGCTAATCCTAAGCCATAATCTCCATAACTCTTGGTAATAGACTCTCGAAGTAGAATGACAATGTCTTCTTTTTTGATAGTCAACTTACGTGCACCAGTAATCTCGACCACCAAGTACCGAGTCTTGAGTCGTACCATGGGCAAATGTATGGTTTTTATAGAATGGCTTTATAATTGATGTAGCCATTGTAATACCACGATATATATATATACCCAATGTTGTTTCGTTGTCTCTATTTATAACCAATCAACATGATTGAAATAATCAATTAACTCGCATCAAGTACAAATTACATTGACTCGATATGAGCAGTGCAGAAGATGCTGCAGTACCTGGTCAGCGTCTAGCTACAGCGGATGGCAAGATTAAAGCAGGAAGCGGAGCATATGTTCGTGACGGTTCTATTTTTGCTTCGATATTTGGCAAATGGAGTATCGTACAGGATGCCGTGGAAGTCAAGCGGGCCAACAAGATAGTGGCATCAGCACAAGTGCTGCGACTTGGTGATATTGTCATTTGTAGAGTAATCAAGATTACATCTCGACAAGTGATGGTAGATATAATGTGCGTGGGTGAGACAGTACTGAAGGAAGCGTTTCCAGGAACGATTCGATTGGAAGATGTGCGAAACCAGGAAATTGATAAGCTCGTGATGGAGGAGGTTTTTTCGCCTGGTATGCTTGTGAAGGCAGCTGTGCTGTCATTTGGTGACACTCGTTCCTACTTTCTATCGACAGCTAAACCAGGACTTGGTGTCGTACGTCAGACTACAGAGCAAGCCTGACGACTAACTGTCTTGGTGAGGAATTAGACAATTGTAATAGCATTTAGGAAAAGCTGCAACTCGCTATGGAAGCAATCAAGGTGCCAACTCATTGTGGTTGATGTTGGTAGACAGTGAGTACACATGGACGTGCGTAGATATCACTAGCTAAGCTTTTGTGTGTGCTTATCCTTGTCATTTGATACTCGTTTTTGTCCTCGTATGGCCACCTCACAATTATATTGAACACTTTCAACACTTAAGCTTCTTCGTGTACCTTAAGTCGTATTTTTATACAGCTTCTAAGTGCTAGAGCAAATTATGATGATTATCGCATTCAACGTCGTCCGGATAAAACAAGGTCTGGTACACAAAGTCCTGTTGACCTCTTTTGTTCATTGCTATCTGTTTCAACTATACTATCAAATCTCACCTCAAAGTGCAGAACGCCTTCATTCTATACATTGACTACATATGCATCGTCTTCTGGTATCGAGTCATACTGCGATGACTCCATCTTTACTTAATCAGACGAAGCAGACTATCTTTCTACAGCAGCTAAAATACTTCTTAAGACAATTAAGACAATACATAGTGTTGGAGAGAGAACAGATTGTCTATTTACTGGTTAGTGCAAGATCTCTGCTAGGTTGTTAACCACACTAGCAACGCTGAAGGGTCCAGACATTGCCGACGGCTGGCTGCCTGGCGATGAAGTCCGGGCTGCCTTCTCGGTTCTGATATAAATATGTCGTAACATGCAGAAAGTTAGGCACCCCGCACGGCTGTCTCAGCTTTGCAATGGAGGCGTTTAGCGAGCGCTCGCAGTTGGAGCTGAATCCTGCCCCAAATCAAGGCTTCACTGGCTTGCATTGGGATATCTGCATGGCGAAACACACTGTCGACGCGGTGTTGCCAGAGCATCGTGATAATGACGGTCCCTGCGACCTCCCATATCGTCTTTTAGGCGGTGGCGAATTGATCGATCTCGTCGGGGTAACGGGTTACCAGCATTGCTGTGACCCTCGGTGAAAGGCGGGGTACGCTACGGTTTGTGCAGTGCTCGAGCCATCCCAGTAGGTGGTGAGGCTTACGGGGCGTGCTTTCCCAAGGACTGATGAGCCGGGCCTAGAGTGGCTGAGCACGGGGACATCCCCAGAAAATATGCTCCTGGGTCTCCTTCTGCCCTACACATTCTCGATACGTGTAAGTCCCGTTCGGAGGCCGGTCCTGACACCAAAAGTTTAGCTGACCGGTAGCGTGGCGGTACCGTGTCCAGAGCTGATATTCCGTCACCGCGTGTCCGTGACCATATATATGAGCTGGCGAGACATCGAGAGCTGCACGTTGCCACCGCGTTTGTTGGCTCTTAGAGCCTAGTCGATCAATGACCTGCTTCAGCGGTGTTGCAAGACACCGCTTAGACGACTTAAAAGCTTGCCGTTTCAGGAACGAGAAGACGCGGCGATTGGGAACCATTGGCGGAGCAGACCATGGATAGTGGTGGACCTGTGGATTGGAAAAAAAGACGACCCCATTTCGGATGAGCTTGCGCTCCGCTAGTTAGGTAAGTTCCTGAGTTTTCTCCTGGACCGGCAGTGGTCTCCTTCGAACATCCGCGTGAGACTATTGTGGGATTGAGTGAGCTCCCAACTTTGAGGGTGACAACTGTCGGCAGAGAGCGAAGTGCCCCGAATCCTGCCCGGCCCGACCTGCACCCATGCGATGACTTGTGTGAAAGGGGGCTGTCGCCGCCGCCGGAGCGGGGCCGGGCCGGGCACTGCACCGCACCGGATTTTCGACGTCAAGGGACGGCGACAAAAGTAAGACGATGATTGCCCATTGTCGAAGTTTTGCATGGGAATGGCGGGGGGCGAGGAGGTCCGTGCAAATGCCGCCAAAGACGTATTCCTGGGGGTCCTGTCCGCTGGATATGGAGTTGTTCAAACGAGACGTCGCAAATTCTGTAATACTTGGACCGGGACAGCGTCGATGCTTGTGGTGTGAGAATCCAAGGGTTTCCACTCCACCGGAAAGTCTGCCAGAAGTCTGCGATCTCCTGGGGACAAAACTCGACTGGCTGAGACCTACAGGGAATGGGTACAGAGAGATGCAGCACCCAGTCTTTTCTTCCCACCAGCTGGTCAATGATGACCGAAGGGTCAGTAGATGGTCCTGTACCCGTGCAAGAATGTCCTCCGTTTGCGCGGGTGTTGGCGTCATCGTGCATCCAAGCTCATGAAGTTGCAGTTAGAAGCGATGACCAAACCGTGATCTTAGGGCTGCCCTTAGTAGTCAGCGCCGTCGATTACCATTGGCTTCTCGAAGGCGGATTCAAAAAAGAGCGCAATACTGACCCAATCAGACTGTGTCCCGCCCCCATTGTAACAAGATTTATAGTGCGCATCCCGTTGCAGGAGCTGAACATGGGTCTGCATGACTGGCCGGGAGCTAGCCCCTGGGTCAGTCATCGACAAAAGCTCTCCAATTTCGACATAATACAGATGAGCGCACAAAATATGATGACTCAATTTTACCCGCCAAATTGGATCGCACAGCCGAAAAAGATCGTCATTCCATTTACTTCTTAACACGGATGCGTTTCCAAAAGTCGGTGTTATCCCCGAGATTACCGGCGATCTTCCGCCCTTTTAAAATATTGATCTACTGCATCCAATGATCTAGCCAAGCCCGCGTCACTTTGACGTACACTTTGTCCTGTAACGCGCTATGAGTCCAGCAGAAGTCTCTCCGCCATGTCTCTGTCCACTGTGAACGATGACTGAGTCTGCGAGAGAGTTAATGAGTTTACCGGGGAACCTGGATAATTGGACTTGATGAAGTAACACTTGCGGTTCCGCCGCTGCCGCCGCTGCCCAGATAGCGGTTCCGCTTTCCACTAATGGACACTGGACGCTTGCTGTCGTCGGCCATCGAACTCTTCCGCTATTCCATTCGACGTCCCAAAGCTGAGCAGAGCCGCTTTGTAGTTCATCCTCCCAGTTGAGAAATGGAACAAAAGCGTTCTCCTCCGGTTTCCCTTTTTTGAGCAAAGCCCCGGTATGGATGTTTTTCACGGCCATTCCATCCTAAACGCGAACGTCAGGAACGGCTAAATGGGTACGGTTACGCAATTGCCTTTCAACGGCGCAGAGTATCGGAGGCGGCGTCTCGTAGTCTGCCTGTGTGCGGGAGGTGTCAGAAGTGGTGATAGCAGTGTTCATCGTGGCGTTGGCCGCGTTACTCTTAAGCAGCAATAGCTGTTTTGATCCATCTTGAAGCGGGGCGAGATCACCAGTCAGGAAAGTTTTGTGCAGTGGATCTTCTGCAACCTGCTGAGCCGTTTCCTCGAGCATGATGGCGTCGTGAAGAATTGTTCGCTTCTCCAATGTTGTCAGTCGAGGAACAGTAGTCGAGTAATGCCGACCCCAGTAACGAAGGACAATGGGAGGAGCTGAAGAGTCGATGATATCCGCCCTGATGGCATCGAGGCATCCTAAGATGTCCAGCGGTATCTTGGTGAACGAAGCAATACTTTTCGCTCTAATGGATAGCACTGCTGGCTCAACTGCCGACAGCTCCAGGGGTTGGACGCGTATCCTCTAATTCGAGAACGTAAATGCTCCGACGTAGGAACATTGCCGCTAGTTTCCAATGCTTGGCGAAGATTTTAAGGCGCGTCGCTGGAGAGACCGTCCCTATTGCGCTCTGTGGGTAATCCACGGCTGTGGCTCCCTGGGTTCTGGTTGCATATCAACGCCGGGCGGTAATATGCCTTGTTCCCGATCCACCGGTTTCGGAATTCGCTGCTCTCTATTGGAGTCCTGCAGACCTGAAAGTGGTGGAGAAGCAGACGCCTGATTGTCCGATGTGCTTGGAAGCGCCTGTGCCAGGCGGTGGTCGGCAATACGGACGCGCACCGTGTCCCTAAGTTCTTGAAGGCTCGTGAAAGGACGTGCGGTGTCGCCTAGATCGACGATATTCTGTTAAGCAATGACGATGGCCCCAGGCCCCCGTAGTTGAGCGTCAGAGAAACTGCAACGCGAAATTGGGTTTCCAATGTTGCCGCATTGGAGACATTGAAGCCGGCGCCCAACGTTTGGATGAGAAACAATTAAGATGGCCCCAAACCACATGATTTTGACTACTCCTTGTAGAAAAATCGGGCACCCTGGAAAGTCAGTTTCCAAACCGTCGGCGTTCTGGACGCCGGCGTGCACGTGTCCATATCTTCTACTTCAAATAGAGTCTGAATTTTGCTCCGAAGGAAAGCCATAAGCTTTCCGATGACGTGAAACCGGGTAAAATTGTGAACATAGACCGTATACTTTGCCTGCCGCCGCAGTTGTTGCCCATCGGGGGTCCCAAACTGTGCCTTGGTGGGGCCGTTGAGGATTAGTGAGGGAATAGCTTCCGCCCGAAACGGAATCGCCACACGTTGATGCTTCATTGCCGTTTCTCTAGTAAAGAAAAAATGAATTGACTTTGTCACTTTGTCGTAGACAATCTGTTTAGTCTGACTTATCAGCGCGTGAAGCGCTGGCAAGTTGACTCGCATCAATTCAGCCGATTCAAGTATCGTTGCGATGATGCTGTTACACCTTCCGCGCCCGAAGGGGTGAACGCGGTGGAACCCTGTCGGATTGCGCCGGACGGCGATCCAGGTGGGGCCGCCAGGTCCTCGGAAAGGTGGCTGGAAAGAGCCCCATTCCCGTTCATATCCCTGTTAGCATCGGATTGGTGCGTGTTTGTCGCCACCAAATCCTGCTCCCTGTACTGCTGCGGGGAGGTAGAATAAACTGAGTCTCAATCAGCGCTGATGGGAGCGCCGGACGACCTGGATCGTCGCCAGTCTCGCCCCTCCCGTTGTCAGGAGGAGGGTCGGGCATGGGATGCACGCGCGAGCTGTTGCCGGAAAAACCTGTCGGGGATGTCTGTCAATTTAAAGCTCGCCGCTGGCGTATGCCGTCTGCTGCGCAGATTGGAGAGTGACAATACATAGTGGTACAATAGGTACAAAGAGCAAGTAATGTAGGTGAAGCTGATTCTCAAAATGTATATGCTACTAGAGTCTATATATCTGTAGTGATAAAATTTACAATAAACAAACAAATTCATTCAAAGGCAATAAGGCCAAAATCAAGGTTATTACCGAACCTAAGCAAAGCAAATTGTGGTGCGAATCTAAGAAACTGATTTAGAAAAAGACGAACTTAATAAATCGTATTGTTGAACTTATAAAAAGTCCGAATAAGGGACAGCATTAGTTAAATGAGACGTCAGGTGTCCTTATATCCTACTCAGTATTATTTCCACTTATGATGATCTCGGGGATGAGAGTGGTAACGAAGAGACGCTGGCTATGACACTTTCCACGTTGTCAATACATGTGTCGTAATACAAAATTGGGTGAAGTTGCTCTGCACTCACTTGAGCGTAGCTGCATTTCGTCGTACCATGACAATAAAATGGCAAACCGTCCCCGCGGTTGCACCAGCTGTTTCGACAGGCCCAGCACTGTTAGCCCGCAGTGCGCAGCCACAACTACTCCGGGACTGTGCTCATGCCGACAGCATCACCACCTACTAATCGAAGGAATCGACACTCCGTCGGCGTTTCGTATGTTGGCCCAGACACAAAGCAGTACACACCCTTCCGCATCTTATGAGCAAGACCAAGGTTCTCAGCCACATTAACGGCTAACGCTTGTAACTTCTTGTCGTAGCAATTCGAGAGTGGCGTGAAACGGGTTCCAAGCGAGAGTCATTAGGTCCAATAAGAGGATGCTGACCCGATAACCCCGGCATGTTCAAATGATCATGTATTATCATGAAATCACCTACGTTGAAGTCCGGATTCAAACCGCCTGCTGCGTTCGTTACCACAAGTATTTAATACCTAGAAGATACATAACACGAATGGGTAGTGCCGTTTCTCGCATGGCATAGCCCAAACGTCCACGCATACATACGACAGATATACCGTTTGTGTCTCCAAAGACCAACTCACTTGCGTGACCTTCAACAGTAGAATATGGAAATTGTGGAATATCCTCATAACTGATCACTTCTTGGTTTGAAAGGCACTTGCTTAGCCCACCAAGGCCTAAGCCACAGACAACACCAATGAGTGGGCGGGTAGAGACACGTTCCTTGAGAAATTCGTAGATAGTATCAATTCGCTCTTCAGGAATGATCTCATCCGAGATTTGTCCCGTCGACATGCGACACATGTGATGAGTGGCTTTAGCATCGGTCGAGGCAGCGAGAGTAGCAACAGACGTGACAGTATGGTAATTCCCTCGTGGGCGTATTCCATCCACACTGTGACTTTGATGCTGACGAGTTACGTGCGTGGGCAACGACAATCGACAGGTAATGCAGGATTTAAATCATTAATCAACTTGTTTTTCTATGAAGGAATATTCCTATTGAATGTGATGTGTTAAGCGACAGATTCAAGAATGCGCTTAGGCAAATAAAGCGACTGCCAGAAGAACCCTGTCCCGTACACGCATTCACTCTCGTGCATTTCTTACGATACAAAACAAGTATAAATTATCCAGAAGGGAAGACGTAGAAAAGGAGATCGGTATATTGCACTCAAACGTCGCGTTATATTTCAATGTGTTAATTACTGGATACAGACGGACAGACACGACCTGAGACTCAAGCTGTAAATTAAACGCCCTTGTCACTAGCTTTACGTATGACGTATCGCATATTTTTTCCGCTTTCTAAATCGTTGAGTATTGTTTTTTTTCGGTCGAATCTACAAAAATCATGTAACAAAAGCCATGCTAAACTGTTTTGACACATTGAGTTTACACAGTAAGAAACTCAGTTCATGTTTGATATAACTTGTGCATCACAAGTAAATTGCTAGCACCATTCACTTCTCTTTGCACTGGCATCGATAACAAACACTGATTAATACAGTAGATACTGTATGAAACACCGACACGAAATGTGCAGCTTAAAACCTGATAGTTTGGTGCTTTTACAAGAGTGACAAGAAAGAAGCTCTATCAATTTGATGATTGATTACCAACGTTCCTAGAAGTCAGTCAAGTGTATCATACCAACGTTCCTTTCTAACTTCAACCAGTGTTACTAGGTTCTTTCTTTCTATTGGTTAATATTCAACATCAAGTATTCTGTACAAGGTAAGAAAGACAAGAAAAAGCCCATAGTAATCGGTCGACACGTGCCGCTATGATGAACATTTTTTCGCGTAAGAATAAGCTAGAGGATGAACTGTTTAACATGAAGTTTACAGCCAAAACATTGCTACGTAATGCTAAAAAGTGTGAGAAGAACCAAGTGATACAGAAGAAGAATTTAAAGAAAGCTATTGAGCAAGGCAATATGGAAGGTGCCAAGGTCTATGCCCAGAACGTGATTCGTGAGAAAACCCAGGCGCTAAATTACTTACAGTTGTCTTCACGTATGGATGCCGTAGCGGCACGTGTGCAGACGGCCATTAGCATGGGCCAGCTCAAGGGGAATATGAGTGGTGTGGTCAAGGGCATGGACACAGTGATGGAGTCGATGAATGTGGAGGCGATCTCGCAGACTATGGATCAATTTGAGAAGCACTTTGAAGACATGGACGTGCGTGCGGCCTACATGGAAGGTGCCATGAGCAGCGGTACATCGATTTCAACGCCTGCAGACGAGGTGGATGACCTGATTCAGATGGTCGCAGATGAGAACGGGCTCAAGGTTGCAGGGCAGCTGGACTCGGCAGGGCTTGTAGGTACAGATTTGCCTATAACAGAAGCAGCACGAGAGAAGAAGTCACAGGATGATTTGTCCATGCGACTTGCAGCACTACGGAAATAGTTTCTACTTATTTGTGGGCGACTGGTTCTTCTTGCAGCTTACAAGACATAAAAATTGTGCCATTGGTTCGTACAGAGCAAAACCACATGAAACTTCATGAGCTCGTAGCGCCTGCTACTATGTTCCTATTGTATGTACAAGAGGCTGCTCTAGATTATGACTAGCAAGGGCGTGATAGCTTGAAGAGCTTTCTAGATCATCAGAGGAAGGAAGTGATTATGACCATCATTAATACAACTCTCAACTACTTGCCACCTCTTTCTGCTCCTTTCAACCCTTTGAAACAATGCACCTATGGCATATCAAGTCTGTCAAAGTATTCTATTGGCTTATTGGGTCTGGTAGTCGCACGACTTAAGTGGATTTCGTCAGTATGGTCAACTTTAGTCTACGTCTTCGTGATAACTCGGTCGCTGAGTGGCGTGGTGACTACGTGGACTACGATGGGCTTAAGCGGTTGCTTGAGCGGCAAAAGGAGATTGATACGTCACTCTCAGCTGCTGCAGTTGCCAGCACAACGCGGAACGTGTGCACCTCGACCGAAGGTATGGAAGCCAACGCGCTGAACCGTCAACAGTTGCGCTCTATGGACACCAGGAGCAGCAGCACCCGATTGACCAAAACGATCAGTAGACTGCTTGAATATTTGCGACTTCCAGGGTCACTTCCGACGTCCACTGACGATGAACAGCTGCAGTCACTGCTTTCTACGCCCGTTGTCTTCGAAGAGGCACTAGAGCACGAGTATATCAAGGTGGAGCAAGCTTACAGACGCCATGCAACACAGTTAGCCGAACAACTTGAGAATCTGAAGGTGCAGCACCGTGATGATGCACCCGCTACAGTTCAAGAATCGCTCAAAAATTCACTCGTCGAACTGCATCGCTTGTTGCATTTACTGCTGAACTTTGCACTGCTCAATTATACTGGATTTGTAAAGCTTTTTAAACGTTATGACAAGATTGCTAGCTTTCAAGCGGACCAGCGTGAAGAGCATAAAGCCAAGCTGAAGACGTTCCAGTTCGCCAAAGCACGACGGTGTTATGATCTCTTGAAGCAAGTAGAGCAGTCATTCGCCGACTGGTTCTGCGATGGAAACACTACTGTTGCTGTGGCGACGCTTATGACGAAGAAGGAGGATTTTGTCGATTGGGGACATATTTACCTGGGAATCAAGGGTGGCTCGTGCCTGATCTTACTGATTTGGGTGTGTTGGGACTCGCTTGTTGTCCCCCTCTTTCGCAATCGACGCGAGTATCATCTCGTTGATCTAGCACGCACTCGTGCATACCCAGTCTATCGCAGCATAGGCTGTCTTCTTTTGCTGCACTGGTTGGTTGGAGTGTCGCTTTATGTGTGGCGCGCGGCACGAATTAATTACCGATACATCTTTGAGCTCAATCCACGACGAGCACAGTCGTACCCTCAGGTGTTCAGCGATGCCACCAACATGACCATTGTCTTTTTGGTAAACGTCTTGCTCTACTTCAAGGTTGTAAACGGCGACTTTCCAGAGGAGCTTCTGCACCGTGGCTACTATCCGCTCACGCTATTCCTGTATACCTTTTACTTCTATGCTATTCGCCCATGGGGTCAGCAGCTCGGTATGCTACGAACGTTGTGGGAGGTCGTGTGGTCACCATTGTATCCTGTTTCATTCTTCCACACTTTCGTGGGAGACTATCTGACGAGTACGGTCAAGGTGACGCAGGATGTCAGTTGGTCTGTCTGCTTCTTTTTGTCACAAGAGTTTTTGCGCAAAGATGTTATCCCGAGTGATGTTGGCGCATCTGGTTTGCAGAATCTTACAGTTCCAGTGGACCCGGATGAACAGACTTGTGCTGACAATGTGTACTACGTGAACGTGGTGGTACCGTTGGTGTGTGCTTTGCCGCTGTGGTGGCGTTTTCTACAGAATCTTCGTCGCGTGTACGACACGAAAAAGTGGTGGCCTCACCTGCCCAACGCTGCTAAATATGCGCTCGCGCAGGTGGTAGTGCTGTTTGGTCTTTTCCACCCCTTGCACAACGACAACAGCGACGAAAAAAATGCGGCACAGGTGCAATTGCTCGTTGTCGCGTGGCTGTTCCTGTTTACAGCTAATTCGCTGTACACGTGGGTCTGGGATGTGACGATGGACTGGGGACTCGGTCGACCACAGTACAAGTTTCTGGGAGACTCACAGATGTATTCACACAAATGGGTTTACTACGCTGCTATTATTGCCGACCTGTTCTTACGTTTTGCGTGGACTCTGACGCTCATTCCTCCACTTGGTGCAACTCGCTGGCTGCCGCTATATTTGCAGCCTTTCACGACAGTATTGGAACTATTCCGCCGAACATTTTGGAGCTTCTTTCGTTTGGAGAATGAACACCTGCGCAACACTCAAGGATTCCGTCGTGTGGATTTCATCCCATTGCACTATGATCACGGCGTCGGCGACGTAGAGGACGACGTTGTCATTGAAGATAAACAATTGGACTTCCGGGTCTTTACGCTCAAGATCTTGGCCATCCTTTTCACGGTGCTAGGACTAAGCATCGCTGCAATTGTCGTCGAGCGCTAAGAAGGCAGTGTTAGTGTCCATAGAAAAATTCTAAAAGTTGAGCGTAATAGCTCAAAGCACAGTGAATATCTAACACTGAAGTAAATGAAGGAAGAGGCATTAATTAACTGCGCAGACCAAGATATTAAAAGCTCGCTTGCACCAACACAAGCACGACTTCTCTCTAGCACTTACACATGCTTAAAATTTAACCTCCTTAAGACCCCATTTGATGTAGCAAAAGGTGGGTGCTACAGCACCCTCTGGGTAGTAAGCATAAGCCAGACCAGCTTCAAAGTTGCATGACTTGAACATGTAGAACTGTAGCTCGGAAAACATGGATACAAGAAATTTGACAATCTCTAGAGCATCACTCTTGAATTGCGCTAAAGCTTCATCACCAGCGTTCGTAGACTTGAGATGTTTCATCGTCTTACGAAAATATGATTTCAGGTACGTTTTAAGTTCTGCTTTCGTGTCAAAACCTATCTCAGTGTAGCCAAAACCAATTGAATCATCAATTACATTATTGACTGTCTCGACTGAATCATCCACCTGTTCGTTTTCACCTCCAAAAGCGTCACCACAGCCAATATCGATGTTATCGGAGCCTTTACTCACTGTCTTGGATTCAACTTGAAACATACCAGGGACTTCATTCCCTTCCATGTCCTTACATGGAGATGCCTTAAACGAGTCCGACATTACTTCATCATCCGTGAAGATATCCTGCCACACTAACATTTTAACTCGTTGTGTTTGTCTAGAGACTGAAAAATAATGGAAGGTCTCGAATCTCAAACAAGAGCCACCAATTTTTTGATGAGATTACAGGCTACTTAGGGGTTAAATAGCACGCAGCATTGTCTGCGGTAGATATATATAATATGATGAGGCAGCTTCCCATCAAAAAATAATCCCCGCAACAAAAGCTACAGCATTTTCTACCAATCGTCCTCTAGGCATATTTCAATTCTAGCCACTGCAAGTAAGTACCCATCTTGGTGTTAGCCGTACCTACGGTATAATGGGTTCACATCGTGACAGAGAGCTGGTTGATTAAGTACTATGGATACATATGTGCATATAGTGACCATAGAGTAAGTATTTCTATATTAGTGCTAGAAGATAAACATTCAAACAATCCAGTTTTAAATCTGTTCTGTATCGCATTTGTTGCTTGAGCGTCTTCCCTTGTTAAAGAAAATAGTATCTGTTGATGATGGTCTCATAGAGACGTGAGTTGTTTACAACCAGAAGGCGCAAGCTTATAACGCTAGCCTTGAGAGTGTTTCTACCCTCAGACGAAAAAGCTCATACAGCTTGTCTTCCTTTAAAGTTGAGTGTCAGAAGTAAAGAGTTGACTTGTTGCACAGAAGGTAGAAGTAACCGTAATATATATTTACTAATACTATTGCTACTGCAAATTACATGCAACTTTATGCATATGCAATCGTTGCAACTTTTCCGTCCGTTTTGCATCTGCAGCGGGACCGCAAGCAGCTAACGGTAGGGGAAGACTTAGACTCAATGAGTCTCTTTGCTCGCAGATCTAAAGATTCGATGCCTTAACCACGGTCAAAGACCCAAGAGATATTTACTTTGGCGCAACGCGCACTGCTCCTGGTGGGGCTCTGGAGAGTCATGAACCCACCTTTGCTAGGAAGCAAAAAAGGCTTTTGGCGCGGATATTGGACCGAGTCGGTCAATATGTTGGATGTCGGAATATCCGACTTGTAGACACTGTAAGTGTCGAGGACAATAGCCCTGGGCGAGGCCCAATGACTGTCGTTAGTGTGGTTGAGAACCCACTTGATGGCAAATATGACATGTTTCATGATAATGATGTTACATCGTTAAACACCGTGAGTGGTGTTGGTGGCTGCAAGCCAAGATGTCAGGACATGAGTCCAAGTGACATGAGTGACGAGGAACTGACCCCGGAGGGCCGGGTGGAGTCACCAACGGATCTGTCTTTGAGGATAACGAGGTGCATGCACCTAACGACGAGTTACTGGCCCAAGAGGGTCGGGTGAAGTCATCAATGGATGTTATCTTTGAGGATTATAAGGTGCAAGCACCTAGTGACGAGTTACTGGCTTCATAGGGCCGGGTGAAGTCAAAAATGACGGTTGACTTTGAGGACAACGAGGTGCGAACACTTCATGACGAGGCATTGACCCAAGAGGGTGGGGTGCAGTCAGTAAACAAAGTGGTCTTTGACCTTGAGGTGTGCTTACCTGTGGACGCTGATGTGCAGGATGCTGAGAGCATCATGAGTAGCGATGATGATATCGTGAGTGACGGTGATAGCAAACAGCTATATACACTCGTCAATGGTTTTACTGGGGATGTTGAAAAGCCGGTGGCTCTTTCAGCTATACCCGCAGTAAGTGAGCAGTTAGAGCTGGACAAGTTGTCCTTTGCCGAGTTTTGCAGTGCCTTACAGTCAGGCGACATCGTCGAAGTAGTCGTTATACGATCTGAGGAGTAGTTGAACCCCTCATCGCTTTTGGATAAAGCAGTTCTTGCGGATACCAAGAAGGCACTGAATGCGCGTAGTGGATCGCGGATCCTGAAGGACCCTTCAAATCCTTACTTTCCTTTGTTGAAGATTATGGCGATGTTGTATCCACAAAACCACCTACGAGGTTATCTCCGGATAAAGGTGTACGTCATGAGATTGACTAGGTTCCAGGAGCCAAATATTGTGTGACGCGACAGTGTCCGCTGCCACGAAATAATGTAACGTCATTGACGAGTTGTTTCGTGCAAAGCACGCGGCTGGCATGGTGCGTGAGAGTAAGTCTCCTCACTCTACGCCCACGTTTTGTGTAACGAAGCCAAATGGGAAGTGGCAAAAAGTGCATGCTTACAATAATAAGCTGAATTAAGCCACTATCTCGACTTAAACACCGATTCCTCGCTAGGATGTTCTTCAGAACAATATGGGGTGGGATGTACAATGTACAGTGGACTCGACTTAGTCGATGGATATACCAACTTTTCATGGAAGCTAGTGATATCCCGCTGACAGCGGTCAGCACTCCGAGCGTTATGCTTTGGGAGTGTTTAGTGCTGCTTCAAGGGCTGGCTAACGCACCTGCAACGTTTAATCGTCTGGTGACGGAGTTGTTTCGGCCCCATAGGGCGTACCACAGACATGCTTTGACGATATATTCGTCCATAGTCGAGCCGAAAATGGCAAAACTGATGTAAAGGATCACATCAAACACCTACGAGCGGTGCTCGGTTGCATGAGGATACATACGATAGTTGCAAATATAGACAAATGCATCTTCGGTGAGGAAGAGATTCCCTTTTTGAGAAGCGAGGAATTCGTTCAGACCCTGTTAAGATCGAAGCCACCACCACGAAAGGCCGAGATCTACCTCCAGGGACTGACCTTGGTCTCTCAAACTTCGATCTCTCATCGGTAGGCCTAGCCTTCCGAGGTGGATCTCGGTCTTTCGTCAGTAACCCTCGACCCTAGTCCCTGGACGTCGACCCTGGTCCTTCGTCGGTAGACCCTCGGTCCCAAGGTCAAGCTACCCTGGCCAATCAGAATATAGAAATAGGTCTTAGGGCAAGTATAGAGTAAAGGAGCTAAGATATAGGACTCTATTAATGCTTCTCGATTTGCGATCTACGTGTCACGCCTTCATCGTGCTTATAAGAAACTTGTTTAAGTCCGACCAACTGTTCTGGGAAGGGATACATTTTGGCTCCCGTCGAAGAGAGTCGTGAAGTAAGACTCAAGTGCGAAGAGAGCCCAAGGATATATTTGGCCTTTGATTATTTCTGAGATAGCACCCCCTAATCGACCCGCTATCGTAAGTGGTCTCCCTACCCTAGTGACTCGGGAGCAAGTGAAGTCCAGGTGGTTAACACCCCGGGGCTACTAAGAAAAAGGCCAGGATCAAAATCTCCTTCAAAGGTCGACATCTTTAAAGACCGACATCGCATCTTCACTAAGTCTTTAAAGAGTGCATACCGCCAGCCGACAGGCACACAAGGTGAGAGAAGTTCCATACGCGGCATCGGAGTACCTCCTTCAACAGTCGGTAGTCCGGCACAGTGAGTGGCTTGGGGTCCCATTACGCAGTTTTGAGAGCCCACTCCACCACAATGGTGCGTGGCGGATCTTCTGCAGACGCAGGATATTATTGGAGTCCCAAGAAGATGAAGATGTGTAAGCTAAGATTGAGGAAAAGACCGAAAATTTACTGGAAGGCCGATTACCAGTGACTACAGATGAAAACAACAAAGAATTGAAGGACCGGCCGGACCTTGGGAGGGGTCCGACCAACATGGTCAAGGTTGAACATATGGAAGAGAAACCGAAATACCCTCCCTATGGCCTCATAGAGGACACCTTAGGTCATAACATCTATTATTCTCTAGAGGACCATCAGTAGAAGGTGAAAACAGATAGGCTATGGTCCCTGAAAAACAAAAAAATACCAAAGCTTCAAAAGCTGAATACACCTAAAGCTCTTAGGTTCAAGCTTTGTCCTCTTTGCCTTGTCTATATGGGCGTAGCCGCGAGAACCAAATACGCGTAAGTTGTATGATGTGGGCTTTACTTCAAAACCCAGCTCAAACGGTGTCACAGTTGTGTTTTGCGTGTTCGTGGAACGGTTGTTCAGATATACCGCAGTATCGACTGCTTCAGCCCACCACTCCATTGAAACGCCCTTGTTATGTAGCATAGTTCGAGATTTCTCCATGATGGTACGGGTTCATCCGTTCTACCACTTCATTCTACTGAGGACTATACAGGCGTTGATGCACGATACCATTCAGCATACATATCTTCGTGATCTCTTGGCTCACAAACTCCGTTCCATTATCCGATCATAAACACAGAATACGTTCTCCCCATTACTTCTCATAGAACGTCTTGAACTCTCTTAGGCTTGATGGCCACCTCGCTCTTCTTCTTGGAGAAGTAGGCCGCAACGTAGCGCGAATAGTCGTCCACGAACGTCAGGACATACTTTGTACCCCTCTGGATGGATTCTTCATGGGCACCATCACATCCGTGTAGACGAGCTCAAGAACGCGCGACGTTTTCGAGTTGAAACAATAAGGAAATGTAGCCATCGTCTGCTTCCTTTCATGCAACCGCAACATAAAGACTGGGTCGGTTGACTAATAGCCGGAACACCGTTCGTGCCATGACGTATCTTAATCAGAGCGTCTTGGTTGGAATGTCCCATGCGAGCGTGCCAAAGCTCTCACTTGCTGCCAGCCTCGACGTACTGAACGAATTGAGCTTCTTCGTGTTCACAGTCCAATATGTACGCCTTGCCCACCTTCTTACCCTTTGCAATTGCGCTAGCCGTGCCCCATATAACCCATGCGGATCGCTGGAACTCCACGTTCAGGCCACGATCAGCGAACTTTCCCACTGACAATAGACGCCGATCAAAGCCCGGGATGTGAAGGACTTTAACCATCATAATCCGTTTACCGTCCAGTCCAATCAAGCGTACCGTACCACGGCCAGTGACCTGCAGCTTCATTCCGTCAGCGATTGTTACTTCGATGCCACTATTCACGTTCTCATACGCGAACAGATCAGAACGGTGCGGGGTCATGTGTGCGGTCGCTCCGCTGTCGATCACCCATCCGTTTACACGTTCTGTGCTTACAGCAAATACCGCATCTTCATCGCCATCTATTGTCCGTTCTTGACAGTCCCGCTTCATGTGCCCAACTTTGTTGCACTTAAAACACTTGCCTCGAAACCATTAGCGTTTTTCTTCTGATCGATCCACTTGCGACCGTTCCCCTTGTTGCCCTCGAATCGTCCAGTGCTAACCTTGAACGCTCGTTCTGGAGTCGTGTTTTTTCTCTCCAACCGTTCACACTCCTTTAACAGCTTCTCTTCACCTCGATGAGCATGATGTCCTTGAAGTTTTCGATGGTAGATGGTATCAGCTCGTATTCGGCTGGAAGGCTGGTCAGTAGCACTACCAGCTGCCGTGCCTCGTCGACAGGCTTTCCAAGCGTCTGAAGACCGACAACGAGCTCGTCGAAGGCGTCCAAATGCTTTGCCATGGCCGTTCCAGTATCCATCTTGAACTCGTGGAGGCGCCGTGTCATCGTGACCCGATTGTGTAGTCTAGTTCGATTGTAGAACTATCTAAGCGTTACCCACGCTTGAAACACATGCGTAGATGAACGTATCTTTGTTTGGTGTTGCAGCTCCACACCCTGCGCGATGATGCCGAGAGCCTTCGCGTCGCTTACAGTTAAGCTTCAGTTATTTTGCTCTCCTCCTTGACCACCTCCATATTCACCAGCAGCCCTTTTCTGGCAAGGGTCATCTTCATATTAAACTCCCAGTGGAAATAATTTCCACTTGCAGGAAAACTTCTGCGCGCTTGACATTTATCGTGTGCGTTTCGTGCGAGGTGAGGGCGTTCTTGGCCTTGATGCAGAGGGCCAAGCTGTGGCTGTTAGCCTATTGAGTAGTTGAAGACAAAAGTTAAAGTAAATATAGTAAAGGTCCTTAGTTCACTACCATGAGTTATCTCTAAAGAGTTATCTCTAACTCATGGTAGTGAACTAAGGACCTTTAATATATTTACTTCATGTAACGCTGTTTCATGGTATTCCTCTGAAACTACCATGAAACTCCCTGATGATTTATCTTAGAAATTATCATCTTAACAACATGAAACGTACCTGTCAGCGGTGTAATATCAACAACTTCAAATCGTCTGTGACCAGCGCCCCGACTGGGAGACACACATCTGTCATGGACTCCACCTCTTCTAGTAACGTATATAACGTGGCCAGTTATCAAACATGTTTCCCCTCCGCTGGAGTTGCCAAGTAAATGTCACGGTAGGTCACCGCTTGTGGGTACGCGTGTTGGCAACAGCTAAATAGTGCTTTTTATACTTCGTTCCTCGCCAGCATTGCCGCCCCTACACACTCATCCAGTTGCAGCGGCACGTGTTGTCTGATCTCAAGCACTTTTTCTCCACGCAAAGTAGTGCTTTGTCAATACATGGATCACCCGCACTGCTTTTGTCCGGCGTTATGTATGCAAGAACAACAACTTATTTGTCTGCAATTACCATCAGCTCGCTGCAACACCAGTTGAGCTTCGTAATGACATCCTCACGCCGGAACGGGGTAGCGGCATAATCATCAAAGTACCATTTAAAATGTTTGGTGGATTTCTGCATAGTTATGCCTTCCCAATCCCATCGCATAGCTACCAGCGTTGCGGTCCAAAGGTGATGTTCAGACTGCTTGATAATATTTAAATGACCAGCGTTTAGTCCACGGAGTTTAGTCATCCACCCTACTATGCTGCGAGGATTTGGTCGGCTAATGCCTGCGCCAAAGTCATTGCCATACAATTTTCTGACGAAGGCGTAGCAACTGGCCGGAATCGTAGTTCTACCTCGACGTCCGAAACGCCCCGGGGATGCGTTGGCCCCATTGACGGCATGGGAAGCGGTGACCAATGGCAATGAATAAGTGATTCCGCTGCCGTATACTCAGATCTACTTGAACTCGTTTCGAAAGCGAGGCGAGCTGCGGAAGTGGCCAGTTTCGGCTTGACAAGGTGCAGCTTTGCCTTGTCTTCCACCTCACCAGCGGTGTGGCCAGTGATTCTTGATGTAATGGACTGCACGTTACGTTGTTATGTGTAGGGGACACATAACTAAGAAGAACACAATGTACACACCATATAGGAGGCGTGGCGTTGCGGTAATCCGTCACATGCATTATATAGCTTTATTAGGGTATATTTCAGCGTGTACATTGACCGCAAGCTATAATAAAGTTCACCTTACATTTCAGTTGTAAGAATAAAGCCTGGTCAAGGAAAACAGATCTTGGGTCTTGGACTCATTGATTCTGGTATACAAGCGCTAGTTCCTAGCAGCGTAAAGTTATCGGGTGTCTCCCCGAAAATTTTGGGCGTTCACCAGAACCACTTGTTGGCGACGAGGGCAAGAAGGTGGTGGGGTGAAAAGCGTGTACTAGAATCTTTCAATCCTGCCGGCTAGCACGCGGCTGTCAGGGCTGTCCGGTTGTCGATGCAAAACTGTAAGTGAACGCCCGTCGATATCATCGCGTCTTTCGTTGCTCACATTACAGGCTGCAGCGGGGCTGCAAATGGCAAGCGCCAGAGGAAGACTTCGACTCAGTGAGTTTCTTAGTTCTAAGAACTAGCAATTCTATACCAGAATCAGAACGGTCAGAGATTCAAGAGATATGACCAGGCTTTACCCGTAACTAATAAAAATGCAAAACTGAATTCTATTACGGCTTGCGCCATCGTTCATTGGCACACATGCAGCCTATATTATACCCTAAATACGTTTATGTAATATATGCATTGGGTCACCCTCCTATATAGTGTGTATATTGTGTACTTCTTACTTATGTGTCCTACACACCATAACGTAACGTCTCACCCTGTTTCCCAGGACTTGTGGTATATATTTAGTTAGATGGACACCGAGAAGCCGCAACATCACGAGCAACGTTAACACTTAGGCGATGCAAGACAATTCACAACGATATTGTAGTTGTTACAAGGATAAAGAAAAGTATTATTGCTGACAAAAGAATATGATTCAGCTCCGTCTGTACAATTACAATTACTGCGGTATTAATATAGAATGTACGTAAGTAATGAAGACATGTGTGGTCAAATGGCATTAATGCTTCAAATTAAATCGTATCTTGTGGTCAAAAATGAACGTGCGATAAACAATCTGCATGAAACGTATCACAAACACCATCGAAAACTCGATCCTAGCTCATTAGACACCACTAAATCACACAAACGTACGCGGAAGATGCAGTTTTAGGCAGCAAATCGCCAAGATCTCTCTTGATGAACGTGGGTCAGGCGGGAGACAATGGTCATCCTATTTAACCTTGAGATTTGTATGTATTCCCCATCTTTCCACCACGTCACAAAACTAGACAGTGCTCTTCCAGCACGTTCGAGCGAGCAGTTCTGCTTTCACTTCGGCATTAGATCGCTCCAGATAAACAGACCACAGCGTTTGGTGTATTACGCTCTTTCAGTGTCATCCATCGAATCTTTTTCTCCTTTGAAACCAAAATGGCAGAGGTCTCAAGTAACGACCGAGCCCAAAGCCCTGGAAAGCTAGTACAGCAGCTTGTAGCAGATACAGCCGCTGCTATGGCTGCATCGCTTGGCGTTGCGCCCTTCATCACCATCGTGGACCGCGCTATCATCGAGAACGCTAGCGGTGCCCGTCCGCTTGGTCGTGGCATGAAGGAGCTTAGTATCGAATTTCTTAAGAACCCGCTACGCTTTGTTGGCAAGCGTGAATTTCACCTCATCTTTGGCCTCTACACAGCTACTTACATGGCTGCCAACGCCGTTGATTCCGTATGCGAGTACATTGAAACGGACAATCAGATGCCCAAGTTCATTGGCACTACAGCCGTGAATATGTCGATCTGCATTGCCAAAGATCGCGCCTTTGCGCGTATGTTTGGCGTCATTGCGCCTGCAGCCTTCCCATTGACTTCCATCGGTCTATTCGCTCTACGTGACTCCATGACCTGTGCGGCGTCGTTCAATGCCCCCAAGGTACTGGCCAAGAAATTTGAAGACAAGAATCTTATGGAAAAGTCCAGCGCCGGCACTTTTGCACAACTCATTTGTCCCGCAGCCGTGCAGTTCTTTTCCACGCCACTGCATCTGCTGGGACTTGACCTCTACAACAACAAAAGCCACGTCATGACCCAGCGCGTGACATTTGTCAAGCGCGAATATGTGAAGTCGGTCCTTGCTCGTATCGGTCGAATTGGACCTGCCTTTGGTATCGGCGGTGTGGGCAACACTTACTTCCGCAATACACTTCGTGCGAAGCTGGACTAGATGTTGTCAAACGAGATTGTACTGCAGCAGCTACTCAGGGTACTCATTTGGCGAAAAGATATAGAAATTGTCGGACTGGTTCGAGCGAATATATGTTGTACGGCCAGACCATGGCACGCTGCTTGTATTGCTCGAATTCTTTATTTGATACCAATTGCAGTCAGCAGCTACTTTGCTGGGTTGCAACACGTTCGCTTGCTTGACATCAGAGAGGTAGTACGTATTATCGTCAAATACAGGCGGTGTTCGCTGTCACTCTGTTTTGTACTAGGTCGGGTCTACTACCGTGCGCGCTGTGCTTCTCTGTAAGCGCTGAGCGCAATGGTCGCCATTTCTTAGTGCAACTTGCTCCTTCAGCAACTCTTTCTATTCATCCGCTATGTCGTCATCATCATCGTCGTCTTCTGCTTCGCCTTCATCCGACGGCGTATTCTCCTCTTTGAGAGCAAGAGCTTCCACCTCTTTGATCTCTCGCTCCAGCTCAGCAAAGCTCTTTAGCACCTTTCGTACGCTTTGGTCTGCCTTCACCGTGTTGATCCGAGCCGCTGACGCGCGTGCCTTCTGCAGCTCTTTTAGAAGAGGTGCGTCAGAGCCCTGATTCCAAACACAAACGACATTTTACACGCTGTCAAAATGATTTCGACAACACTAGCAACACTTGCTCCCTATACAAACCTCATGCTCAATCAACACCTCCATTTGTCTGTCATAGGCATGAAGGAGTAGCTTTTGCAGGTCTTCAGAAGACATGGCAAGAAAGTGCAAAAACGACGGTTTGCCTGCTGATAACCGCGTATCAATGATTGAGCCTAAATCGTCGCCCTATGTAATAACAATATGAGCATCACTAGATCAAAAGAACTTGATAGTTTGCTTCCAAATATTAGCAGTATACTTACCTTAACGCGAATAAAAGCACCAGGATATCCGTCGAGCTCTTGAACGCCATGCAGTTTCTGCCATCGATCAAAAATTTCACCCAAACGCCGTTAGTGGGAACAAGATCAAAGGACCGATTCTTCACACCACTTTGCCACTTACCGACGCTGATTTCTTTGCAGGTGGCCACTCCATCGCATACCACCAGCGACACAACAATTCCTGCGCTAGTCTACCCTTAAGCGTTTCGTACAGCTGTTCCGTACACTCCTGTTGTCGAATCTTTATCTATATCAATAATTACCAGTGTAAAAAGGATCAGTCGTCTCGGTTTGTCTGCAGTATGCAGCTGCCTTTCACCATGACTCACCTTAATGACTCTCTTCTTCACTGTTCGCGGTGTACTTTTCGATAGTGAGGAAGAATCCTGTGGCAATTTTTCTATCTTGATTTTTGTATCCATCTTTAGCTTTTTGCGTTTCATCAAGCCACTGATAGGAACGTTATCATCACTGTCACTCTCGATCGTCTCTTGCCGTTTAGTAGTGTTCCCCATGCCATTAACTAAACCTTCTGTCTTTACTTCCACTTTAACTCGTTCTTTGATTTCTTTAGTCTTTTTGCGTAGTGAAGACAGCGGAACGTCGTCATCGCTGTCGCTGTAGAAACAAAGAGACACGAGAAGAGAGTGAGATCTTCCAACTTCTCCTTAGTATAGCGTCATTCATAGACAATATAGAGTAATAAAACTACTACGATATAGTAGTATAATCATTTCTTAATTGATATCATGACCATGTCATGCATATACCTATCCATTGTGCGTGAAATAGACGAACGTGCACTCATGCTTCGTCAAGTAATGTAGCAATGCTCCAGACTGGAAACGTTATTAAAACGAGGGAATGTATAATGACATGGCTTCATCCCCATTTTTCTAACCTAACGTAGTTATTGGACGATGAGGAGAAACAAGGAAGTGATAATGGACGAGAATGATCCGATCGTACGTGAAATTCCCGTACATCTCAATGAAGGATTGGGTCATAATCTGTAAGTGTGATTTCTGTACGATCTTTTGCTGCTTTTATTTTTATTATAGTGCAATTAATTGACTGATAAAATGATTGGTGCGTAGCTACATGGTCCAGTTTCCACTGCGACCAACGTATCGCCCAATGTCAGAACCACCGCGTCGTGCACGTATTAAGCCAAATAATCAGATGATGCAGCTTGATTTTGCTGTCGATCAGCGCTCTGAACACTTTGATCAGGACGCAGAGGATTATCTCAAGCAAAAGTATCTACGGATGCAGTCGGCGAACGTCCCGGCGCTTACCAACTACGTTGTAGGCGTTTTTCGACAAGGTCAACTACATCTTACACCGCTATCTTCGGTCATGCAGATGCGTCCGAGTCTTTCGCATATTGACGATGCAGTGAATGAGGAAGTGATGGAAGTGGAGGAGAAAGTAGAGCCGCCCTCGTCCGAGATGAAAGAAGTGCAGTTTCAATTTAAAAAGAAACAGTCAAAACGCGCTATTCTAGCCATTCAAAACTCGTACGCATACAAGAAGCAGCAGATTGACGCCGAGAACTGGATTGAACTTCAGGTGCATGATAAAAACGTAAGTTTTGATTCTGTACAGGAATGGTTTGAGCGAAACAAAGAGATGCACAGTACTGATCAATCGATCTAATTTATTGGTGATTGACTGTTGATCTTCTTGTTTGTAGAGCAATGGCGCTGATGATGAGTTTGAAAACTTGTTCAGTGAAAAAGAAGAAGAGGTGGTGTCGACTATGACACCGGAAGAATACATTAAGGCAATGCAGTACCGTGTATTGGCATCTGTTGATAAACCGACGACTCCACAGAACCCATCACAGTACGTAGTGCTTATCTATGATGTGTCAGTATAGCTAGCTATTGGTATGTTTGACGACTTGATGCGATACACAGGACTAATGATGAAAACGAGGAGCAAGAAGAAAAGACAATGGAGCCTGTTACTGGCCAGCTGCTTCGCGGTGTTGACGCAAAGTACTCGGATGTTCTACGACTGCTTGCAACTGACCACATCATGCATTTCGATACGGTTGCGAAGCTCCTTCCAGCACGAAGTGAGGAAGAGCTATTGGAAGCACTCAAACATGTTGCCGTGCATGTGCGAGGACGCCTGCTTCCAACTAGGTGGGTTATGCTTCGACCAAGTTCAGCTGACGATGGCAAGGATTAACATAATTTCGTTCCTGTTGTTTTCGGCTAAACAGCACCTTAGTGTGCCGCGGAGCGACGACAGTGCGCACCCGCAATAATATTCTTAAGGCAGTACGTGTGAGATCGAAGCCGTTGCTCGCTTACGCAAGAAACTAACGATGCATATCATGTACTGTTGCAGCTTACGAAGACACCTGCCGGTGTATCACGCATGGAACTGGTAGAAAAATTTTCTGTGGACGCTGAAGTGGCCAAAACTATCTTGACCGGTAAGACTCACAAAATTGCGTACAAATTGCGGGCAAAATTGCTCTGCTTGATAACATTCCTAACTGCATCTTTGTCTGCACGTTGCCTGCAAAATACAGAGTTTGCTGTTCTTGAGTCAGAAACACGCAAGTGGAGCTTTCGAGTGGGTCACGATGACAGTTTTGCCAAGAGATTTCCTGCCGTAGCAAAGGCAATCAAACTTTAGTTGGCATAGTGCAAAATAATGTGAAAAGGAATGATAGAGATACAAGTGCTGCTTACTTACATTTCCGATGGACTAGCTGGCATACTACATATTTTGCACCTGTAAGCGCTATTCCTTTGTACTTGAGCTGCCAATGCGTCTTCCTGCCGCATTCAAGTACTCCTACATCGCTTTCAACCAGTGAACACTAACTACACTATGAGTTAAGCTGCGTTCATGTTGCTGCTTTGTGATTTTTCTTTTTCTTTCTTATTGTACATAAACCTCAGTGCCTTTGCTCTCCATTCAGCGTATTCCTCTGGTGTAGCAACCGCCTGTTGTCTCTTTCTAGATTGACCAGGACTTGATGTTGGTGTGCCGACACGAGATGCTCGTACCTTCTCCAAGACACGCTGTTGTGCCAGCGTCTGGACCATCTCACTCTCACAGCTCGTTCTCTGTCGTTTCGTACGCTCTTCCTCTTCAATCTGCTCGATGCAAAGTTGCTCTGTCAGCTTTTTGGATGCTCTGTCTCCTGCAAGATTACGCCGCTTCTTTCGATCCATGATAGCGCCACTCAATGACGACTGACACTGAACCTGGTGAGATCAAAAATAATAATGAGCAAATGGCATCCGTAGCAGTATTCTAGCAACATGTGTCCACCTCAACCGAAGATACAATAGCACCGAACTCCTTTGCATTTCCGCACACAGCTTCTAGTAGTGTAACCTGGTTCACATTCATCTGACAACTTGGTATCAGCATTCGTTTTTCAATGGTGTCTTCAATCGACTCTCTTCTCACCTTTGCTTTCTTGCTAACTGCATAAAGACATGCAGCTACAAGAACTGGATCTTCCCTGTTCATTGTTGCCATCATTGGTCCCAGTGGATGCTTCAATCCCTTTCTCCTGTTCGCCGCCGCAGCTTGTGTCAGATACGTGCGATACTCGTCCAGCACGTGATTTACAATCTCCGTGAGCGCCTCACATCCAAATTTAATACAAAGTGCATCTGGAGATGTCTTTACAATTGTATGGACACCCACTGCGTCCACAACCTTACGTACTGTGGGTTCAATCAGTCGCTTCTTCGCGCCTGCGCATTTTGCAAGTCTCGTCTTGTCGACGTCCTCGTTCAACGCACGTGCTGCTACTACAATACACGCTACAGGTCCAGCAAATTGATCTAATCCTGAAGACTTTTTTGCACGTGTTAGACGCCAATTCTCTTCTGCACGTGTGATCAAACGGGCCGATAGTCCGCCATAGTTTGCTGCAATTCTTTTTACGTCCATTTTTGATATGTATGGCTACATGACTGTGTTACATCATATATACGTTTATGATATCTCATAGGTATGTATGTGTAAACATTCATGTGGTAGGCACTGGTCGAATAATTAATTAGTAAAGCCATTAGTAAACGCGTCAGTGTGTGTCATTTGAGACGTTAATGGAAGGTAAGAAGAGAGAAGAGAGACAGTAGATGTTCTTGTTCTTGATATGTATTGTTGCTGCTTGTGATGTTTGTATTGTTTCCATATCAATAGACTTACAACAACAACAACAACAGCAAGAAGAAGAAGAAGAAGAAGAGGAGCAGCAGCAGCAGCAAGAGACGTCTGAACAGCAACAACAAGCGACTGCTTCAATTTTGTCATCAAATGGCGTGTTTGTAGATGTTGAGAGACAGATGAAATCGTGGAAAGAACGATGTGATTCAATGGAAAAGATACTGGCTAAAAACAAGGTCAAGATGCAGGAAATGAAGGAAACAGTGAGCTTTACAGTACTTTTGACCATCTTATCGTATAAAAATCTAATTACGTATACAAATGTAGGAGAATAAGCTCAAGCGTCTGCTAACGATGGCAAAGCGTAGTATTGACAACAGCAAGCAGGAGTTGGTGGAAAAAGATAAAGCCATTCAGAAACTGCAGATGGAGCTAGCCAAGAGTCAACAGGCGAAACATTCGTGGTACGTCGATGAGTCCACTCCAGATCCAAGGAAGCTGTTGTACAAGGTGGCTCAAGGAAATTCGATTTGGTGCCTTGTTGAGTACGCAAATGATTGCGAGTTGGACGACTCGAAGGAATTTGCGTGGCATTGCTTCAAAAGTGAAAAGGAAATTCAGGCTTACGCTAACCGCGTGTCGGGAGAACCTTTGGTACTACCAGACTTTTCGATGACGCCGTTTGAGGTGGAACGTGTGGTATGGATGGGCTTGGTTTGCAATAAGTGATGAGAGTTGTTGAATGTTCACGGCTTGTATGCGGGTTTGTGTGGATAGAAAAAGAGCCTGAAGGAAGAGATTAATCGCGTCCAGGAGGAGTTTCGTCGTTATCGCGTTCGGTCTGAGATCACGCGGAAGCAAAAGGACGCGGACATTCGAAAGGTATGCTGCTATGCAAAGGAATGTCGACTGGACAATACGTGATGATGATGAGTGTGGTATACGTCTGCTCTTTCTTATGTTATCCAGATAAGTGCCAATGTGATAGCAAAGCAGACAGAGCAAATTTCCGAGGTTGATATTGCAGGAGAACTGCAGTCATCAAAGGCTCAGGTCCGTCGACTCACGAAAGCTCAAGCGGAAGCCGAAGAGCGGGTAAGCTTTATCCCCAATGCATTTTTGCGATTTCGTACATCGATCTTATTTTGTTCTGTTGGATCTTATGGTGTTGCCTTGCAGGAGTTAATTTTGCGACGAAAATTTGAGAAGCTGATGAAGGATTACGAGAAACTTAGTGGTACGATGGGTGAGACGGTTCTTGCGATGGAATGGAGGGAGAGGTATGTTCTTTTGTGCACACTGGTCTTGCATAGCGGCCGATATCGCTGATTAGTATAATTCATGCTTGTTGGCTGTAGATACGAGCAATCTGCTCGTGAGAAGCAAGAGCTAGAGAAAAGGCTGGAGGAGCTGAAGTTAATGATGAATGGTGCGTTTGACAAGAGTCACGACAGAGGCAATGGTGACCTGCAGTCACTGCGACAGGAGTTTGCACAGTACCGGAAGAGTGCACTGAATGCTGTGGAGCAGAAAGAGAAGCAGTTGAACGATATTCAGGAGCAGTACCACGTCAATGGCGGTGGCAGCATTGTCAGCCGTGCCAATAGTTCCATGGAAATTGGTGCTCGTCGTATGAGCGTGGAGTCTAATAGCAGCCTGTTGGGTTTTGACACTCCCAACTCAACAAGGACGAACGAGTATTTGAAGAATATCGTGTACAAGTACATGTCCTCGGACCAAGACGAGGTACATGCTTGGGGCATTGATCTGATGTTAGATTGTTATACTAACGTCGCGTTTGATGTGCTTACAATCAGGCCAAAGAGCACATGGAGAAAGCCATCGCCACCGTTCTTAACTTTACGCCAGCAGAAGTTGCTTCCATTCAGGTGCGTCAGAAATGGTAAACTTTGTAGTTCGCTGTGGAAGTGATGTCTTTGACCGCCATATGTACATCTTGTGATTTGTTGTAGGAGAAACGCAAACAACATGGCTGGTTTTGGTAACTACGAACCGTTATGTACACAGATTCTTGCTAATATTTGTGAAAGCCTTTGATGTCAAGTCCTGTGGTGGCTCTTCAAGGTGCTAGTTAAGGTTCTTTATACTTACAAGGTCTGAGCTTGCCGTCATAGTGCACGAATCCCTTCATTCCTAGAGCCATGAGGGACTATATCCATAGGAGTCTACACTGACAGTACCTTGCTGACAACCAAAAAGCGTTATTAGCTGCTGTGACAATCGATGGTTATGCAGGACACCAGCTAAGTTTGTGCAACTTGCGACATTGTCTGGATAAACGCAGCGCTCGCAAAGCTTGCTGTGACATCACCAGATCTTGGAGGCAGAAGATTAAAGACAGTAGATCGCTGCTTTTGCAAGTCACGCAATGACCGTTAGACGTCAAATCCAGCGCTGGAAGTTGGCTATCAAGTGAATCAATCATGCCGCTATTTGATGATCCATTTGATAGCAATACCATCTATGGACACGGGTGACTTGTTCTCCAAACCTCGCATGAGATGATCCACTCTCTGACGTAACTACCTATTTCGTTGCTCTCCTTCGGTCGGTAGATGTACGCAGATGAATACTGCCGACTGCTTTCTTTGATGACGATGATGCTGTTATTCGTACGCATTAATCTATCTATGGACGACTGCACTATGAGACTCATTTGCGTTGCAAAACTTGTACGTACGTATAAAAATGTACGCATGACTTATAACAAAGGATGACAAAAGTTGGTACAAAAGAGACGTCGAACCATTGGTTAAAACGTCCTTACAATTCCAGCCAGCCAACAAGTACGAGACACTCACTTACTTGACATTATGAGCGATTCCGTGCGCGACCAGCGGTTCCATAAAGTGCACAATGACCCGGTAAGCAATAGAGAAATGCAATCGACTGAATCGATATGAGAGCTGACTGATTTTATTTGTTTGATCTACTGAATACACAGAGATTTGCTCGGAATGTAGAGCGCAAGAACAAACTGCAGATTGATCAACGCTTTGCTGGGGCATTGAAGGATGAGCGTTTTCAAAGCGTACAGGGAAAATATGATAAATATGGACGTCGTATTGAGAAGAAGGACAATGAGTTGAAGAAGTTTTATTGTCTTGAGGAGAAAGAAGAAGAAGAAGACGAAGAGCAGCCAATTAGCAGTGATCCAGAGGACAAGGCAATGGCTGAGGACGTTCCATCTACGACGAGCTTTGATGACAAAGATGGAGATTCTACCATTGTTAAAAAGAATGAGAAGCTTTCGCGGCTTGATTACCTCAATCGTATGGCTCGTGGTGAACTTGGATCGGGTTCGGAAAGCTCAGACTCGGACTCGGAAGACAGCGATGACGATGAAGCGGAAGCTGTGAGTAAAAAAGATGAAGGAGAAGATATTCCTATGGGTGAAGAGACCAAACGATTTGCTGTGCTTAATTGCGACTGGACACGCATTCGTGCTGTAGACTTGTTCGCACTCTGCCAGTCGTTTGCACCGGCCACAGGCGCCGTACAGAACGTGACTATTTATCCGTCGGACTACGGTCTTGAGAAAATGGTACGTGCAAAATGTTTGTGAGTTGCTGATTTGAGTTGATTATTGCTCACATTTGGGTTTTTGGCTGTAGAAAGAAGAAGGAAAGCTTGGGCCGCAGGGTCTCTGGGATGATGAAGACAACCAGAACGTGAATGAAAAGGAAGTTGAGGATGAAGAAAATCAGGAAGCGTTACAAACGAACGATGAAAAAGATAAAAAAGACGAAGGAGATCAGGTTGTTGATGATGACGAGAGTTGTGACAGCAACGAGGTAGAAGAAGACGGCTACGACTCTGATGATCCGCTTGGTGTGAAGAAGAGTGTGACGCTGGAAAGTGAGACGGATGGCTTTGATCGTGAAAAGCTGCGAGTTTACGAACTTCAAAAGTTGCGTTATTACTATGCCATCGTGACGTGCGATTCAGTCAAGACGGCAAGCACGATCTTTGACCAGTGTGACCAGCTCGAGTACGAGACGTCATCAAACGTCCTGGATCTCCGCTATGTGCCGGACGACATAACGTTCACCAACACACCTAAGGAATCGTGTAATAGCGTGCCTGACCGCTATAAACCGGCAATCTTCGCCACTCTGGCGCTCCAGCAAACGGATGTAAAGCTCACATGGGAGGAGGATGACGACCAGCGTCTGGAGCTGCTGACGCGTCCCGCTGACTGGAAGGATGCCGACGACGATGACTTCAAGGCATACCTTGCATCGGATGTGTCAGATGCTTCAGAAGCTGAGGACAGTAGCGATGATAGTGATGAAGAGAACAAGATCGATGGCAACAAGGATGCAGCTGTCCCTAACAGCAAGAAGAAGTCCAAGAAGGAGGCCAAAATCAAAAAGCTTCGAAGCCGGTACCAGTCAATGCTGCTAGGCAGCGACGCGGATGATGATAGCTCTGGCGGAGGCTTGGCAGAAAGCACTGATAACGAAGACAAAGCTAGCGGTGAGGGTGATATGGAGATGTCGTTCACGCCTGGTGCAAGTGATGTACTGAAGGCAAAGCGACAGAAGGAGCTTGAGGCGAATGAAACGCCGTTCGAGCGGTACACACGTGAGAAGAAGCACGAGAAAAACCGCAAACTGCATGAGAAGCGTACACGACAGAAAGAGCTCGAGCGTGAGCAGCGAGAAGTGCTCAAGAAGAAGGGTCGTGGTGCCAAGGAGGCGCACTTGCTGCGTGAGGCTATCACCGCTGGCGGCGACAGCAGCGATGATGGCAGCAATGATAGCAACCAGGGTGAGCGTGACTTTAACATGAAGAATATCGTTAAGCAGGAGAAGGTGAAGTCTCTGAAGGGTAAGCGCCGCGCCAAGGAGATGAAGAAGTTGGTGAAGCAAAGAGCGAGCGGTGGATTGCAGGAAGGATTCGAGTTCGACGCTGCCGATCCGCGTTTCGGCGCTCTTTACACAAAGGGCTCGCATTTTCAACTGGACCCGACGGACCCAAAGTATAAGAAGACGGAAGCTACCCAGGCCATTTTCAAGGAGCGGCGGCAACGGTACGATCAGGATGCTGCTCAGTCCATACCTACCAAGTTGAACTTAGATGCTGCCAGACTCGATAACGACAACTGCACGCTAAATGTCATGGTCGAAAATCTCAAACGAAAATCGCAACAGCAGGATAAGAAGAAGGCCAAGAAGCAGAAGAAGACCAAGGCGTAGTAAGTAACATGAATGACAAAAGTTAGGGCAAAGAGCGACCGGCGGATGGTCAAAGGATATTCATTTTGCTAGAAATAGTTTTGGTTTGTCGTGGCGGTCTCTTTTGCTTCAGTGTCACTGTGGACAAGTTACGTCTCTTGCGCAAATGCCACACTGTAGAAGCAGAGCAGTCACAAGCAGCACTATGCATGGTGTGAGATGTGTTGCATATCGATTGTAGTATAAAGAAAATATATTTGCACAGCGCGTTCCGCGTGGCATTGAACCGGCGATGGTGTTGCATCAAAGAGATCGAAAACAGGTGCAGGCTCTTGTCAAGCATGCTACTACGAGTCCACTCGACTACTAGACCCTGCACTTGGAAGCGTTGACTACCCCAATACTAACGCGTTCGTAGTCTAAAAATCATCAAGTCATGCTCTTCATTTATGCAACAAGCATCAAAACAAGAGCAGTGATTGCTGCTGTCAAGTTCTGCTGCCTATAAGTCGTCTTATGCTCTTACTGCATGCCACCCAAAAACGTTTCAAGCAGAGAGCTGAGTCCAGACCGCGGAGGCTGAAGGCCGTAGAACTTTTGGCCAATGATGCTCAGATACTACAGCAACCAAGCAACAGGACGAATATTAGCATCGCTACGTCTCACTTTGCACGATCAGGATAATGCAGTGCGTACGCTCTTGAGGCTACTGTCGCGAGCTAAGGCCGGCGCGTAACGTTCCTCGAGCATCTGAAAAAGAGGTAGCGCATCACGCTAGCAAAACACAATGTCAGAAAACGAACATAACAAGATAAGACGTAGCCATTACAATCACGTCCTCACCTCCAACGTCAGCAGCAGAAAACGCGTGAAGTTGAATAACGGCAAGTCAATGGAACGTCCAGCGCTCTGACACTTGGCCACATATGCTTCATAAACTTTATTGGCATCACGGAGATTCTCCAAACTGAGCAATCTGCATCATAGTAGAAGAAATATCAGTATTCTACTATATCGTCTCTCCAAACAGATACACCACCGCAGCAAGTCACGTCCTTACTGTAGCACGACACGAGCAAGGTACAAGTCCGATTCACTCGGATATCCCTTCATTGACCACTGGAACAGTGCATCGGCCAATTCTTGTGGGTTTTCACTATGTAAAAAATGTTTGATCGCATGGGTCAAATCCTCTGCCGTGCGATAGGCCCTTGCCAGTAATAATTGCAATTCTGGATCCCCACGCTTGCGAGCACCTTCCATGGCCGACCATTTGACTGCATTCTTTAGAATTTGTGCTAGATCAGTACTATATTGTGGTTTACGTACAAAAGCACGTGTAATGTCATGAATACGTTGTTTATGTTGCTGATCCACTGGATGATGAAAATCTGTATAGACAGATATCATGAGATTTGCCAATTCAGTTGCTCCTGTATTCTGATTATGCTCAATGAGTTTCATTGCTCCATTAAATGCCAATTGAATGGCCTTTTCCTGTTGTTCAGCACTTGGTTCATCCCCTTTTAGAAACCGCATAAACAATGTCTTGTACAATTGTAGAGCACTGTAGAAATCACCCGTTTCAAGCTGAAATTCTAATTTCTTGATTACATTCGTTACACCATCTTGATCTAGACTGTGAGGCATAGGAGACATGATGATTGTAGCTCCTGCAGCTTTTCGAGCCAATGCTCGGCGGTTCATAATGAATGACTGACTGACTGACTGATGACTGACTGTATTTTTGAAAAGACTAAATACTGATAATACCGGTTGTTGCGTACTTACAATGTTTTCAGAATAGGACTGGCTAATAAATTGATTGATTCAAAAATCGTGTTTTTGTGTTGGTGCAACTTAAAGAATCAAGCTATTCTAAATTTCACAGGTCTCGAAACTCAGCCTGCATGGGATAATCGTCGACCTTGGACGTCGTCTTCGTGTTCATCGCATCGTGTAGCCGTTTGTCTTTGCTAGAATTAGCCAGTACTAGATAGTTACTTAGTCCGCGGACAGCACTAAGTAGTGAACACAAACATTAGTATCAAAAGCAACTTGACAATCAAGACAATGCACCGTACTTGGCCTTCAGTGCTTCAATCTTCTCCGGGTCCGTTTCGCTACGACCCTTTTCAAACTCTTTTCGTACCAGTTGCTTAATGGCCTGTCCTTTCTTGCTCTGCATTAATATGACGAGCAAACAGTCAGGATCAATGGGCTGGACTCTTGACACGTAGAGTTTTGGTACGTACGTTACCGCCAATGTGCTTGGCAAGACGGAGGGTATCACGATAGAGCTGTACCAGAATGAGACAAGATTAGCAATGCACTTGGTGTAGAATATACAGGTAGGCGGCAATCGAGCACACCTGGATCGTAGTGCGCATCACTTGGTTTGTGGTCGACATGGCAGCGTGTGGTGGCATTACAAATGAACGCAATTGAGGGTACCTATATAACGGGTCTGTAAGGGTACCTAGCAATACCGGTAATATCTAATAAATATACAATCTCACAAAATTCATCTTTACGTAGCTAAAAACGTTTGAAGCTACAGATTTTCACCACGTTTTCAGTAACCTTAGCTATTGATTGAACCGTACACGATTTCAAACCACTAGAAAGCATATGTAGACGACGATCATGACGCTGACTTCACAACCATGACGTGACCGAGATAGACTTAGCCCATCAACTGAATGAATAGAGTGTAAAAAGATCTGGCTATCATATGTCGTCATTCCGTTAATATAAGTAGATGAAAGAAGATATAGAACCCACTTGTCTGGAACGTATTCTTTAAGAAAACCGATCTAGTTGTTCATCTATTGATATGTATTTCAAGTGCTACGAAGTGCCTCGTCATATGATGAAACTACATGTCGGACAGTCATACAATGTATTTATATACATTCGATGAAAGAATTTTTAGAACAGTCACTTGTAGAGTAAACGTAGCATGGCACATCATATAGATTGCGACGTGACATCTTGTTTGTATTTAGGATTCAAATATACTTGTCACTTTGATCAAGGGCTTTCAATTGTATTGACTTCATGGGCATTCACACCTCTCGTGACGTAAATCAGTCACCCCGACGCCTGAACAAGTTGAGAGTGAAGAATGAAACCCCAATTATAGCGGACGGAACTGCTTTGACTCCAACTGGTGCCGATGATCGAATTGCAGCTAGAAGTAAGAGCAAAACTTATGTGACTCTTAATTGCGTCGCGTATAGCTCCTTCCTAGGCGCAGAATGTATCACTGGGTGGGAAGATGGCTCTATTCAATGTCTCAATTGGCGCTCGGCAGCCAGGGATGCTGTCAACATTTGGAAACCCCATTCTCAAGCGGTAAATCAACTCGTTATTAAATATAAACTGCAAATGATCTACTCGTGCTCACAAGACAGTACGGTAGCTATTACGCCTAACACTGACAAACCTGCGTCAGAGACAGCAACTATGCTGCGTGGCCATCAACTGAACGTGACAACGGTAGCAGTGGACGTTGCAGAGCAAATGTTGTGCTCAGGAGGATACGACACTCGGACCATTTTCTGGGACCTCACGACAAGTTATATTGTTGCCAAGAACACGACGCCACAGAACGTCGTCACTTGCTCGATGTGGCTGCCAGGCGAGACCCTTGTTGCACAAGGGAGTGAAGATTTGAGTGTCAAGTTTTGGGATCCAAGAACACCACTACGCGTGCCTGTTCAGACTCTAGAAGGACTCGATCATTTTCCGTTAAGTATAGCAGCGCATGGAAACGAGCAAACGAGTGATAGCACATATCTGCTGGCATCTAGCAAGGGTTTTAACGGCATTGGCTGTGAGGCACGGGTGTGGGATCGACGCACAGGCAGACAACTCATCAAATACCAAGCACATCAACACGATGCGCTTGCTTGCTGCTTTTTACCTAGGACAGCAAACAAAAATGAAGTTGAGATGCAGGTGGATTCTGGACATCTATGGCATTATCCTGTAACTGCGTCAAAGGACGCACGGTGAAGGTATGGGACACATCGTCGCTTTCCCCGTTCGCTGAAGCGTATACTAGTGGATTCAAGCGCATGTTCACGAGTCTTTGCAAGGTGGACAACAGCACAGTCCTAGCTAGCACAATTGGTGGTCAGGTCCTCGCATACTCGCTTGATCGAAAACGCCGGACGCTTACATTGATACCTTGTTATGAAGATGCCAGCTAATATTTTGCAACCAGGAATCGCTCAAGTTTGTTGCAGCTTATTTTGATGTCGAAAGGTACACATGGAAGGTAGATGCTTCACTTCGTCTTGCAAGTAGGGGAATCGTTTGCACAACAGCTTCGATCGTCCAATTTGACTGAGACGTATTATAAGAATGATGGCAGCTGGTCTATGGAAAACATTAGATTGGCATGTGGCATGGCAGCTTGTCAATAGATAAGCTGCTCGAACGTTCACTTTACAAGTCTCGTAGATGACTTACTTACCTCAGGCATTTGGCATGTGCGGAAGAAGGCGTGACGATGAAACTTGCTCCTAACATTATCTCAAAAACGTACTAGGAATAATCTGGCTCGGCAACGTGACGTTCAGAGTTTGTGTCATCAGTGCATGAAACAAATTTGCATGGGGAACCAAAGACCGGAATATATTGAGACTGACGACGAGCAGCAACGCCTCGGAGCTGTGTGCTGAGCTACGGTTTTTGGGTCAGCCGAATCGTGCCAAACTGAAAAGGATGCACCGACCATGGTGCTGCGTGATGCCAGTCCACATTTGATTTCTCTGCAACAGTAGCGTCCCATACCATCGATGTATTCAAACGTTGAATCAGCTCAACCAATCGACAGACAACCTGAGTCTTCAGACCACTGTTCTAAGTCCTTAAAGATAACATTTTCCATACAACAACGGAACACTTGAACATCACGTACAAGCGACCTCAACTACCATTGCTCTACGTTATGCAGCGATGACAGCAAGCTGCTTTTTCAGTAGCCAGAGTTGACTTGCGCGTTACACCACATGGTACAATGTCATCCGAGACTTCCACAAGCTTCAACTCTGCTAAAAAAAAACTAGTTGGACAACTGCTTGCATCTAAATTTTGTCTAGACAAAGATCCGTTTCGATGACCGTGCGATGACTCTCCGTCCACTGCAGCAACCTATGAAGCTGGCCGAACGAACAAGTCTCGCGGAAGTGGCGTTCCAGTGATGGAGATAGAATATTTAACCGAAGAGCTTCATTGCGTAGAGCATAGAAAATCTTAAATAGCTTTGTCAGTTCCACAACCTCCTCATTAACCATTTGCTGTGCATGACACTGGAGCTGCAGCTTTTGGTCGACTGACAAATTCAGCAATGCATCTAACTCCTTTGCCAAAGGATTTTCTGAAAACGTGCGCAGCATCTGCACTTGTAGCACACGTGTGCGCATCGCTGCAAGCTCGCGTCCAACAAACACAAAGCATTTCCAGACCGCAAGTTCGCGCTCTTGGTATTGCGTAGCAAGTGTACGTCGCTGTCGGTTGAGTCGCATAAGAGACTGGAAATTTGCAGGATTCTGAATATTTGAGAAAGCTTCAGTGCGTCCCGTTACCACTGCAACACGACTGTTCCAATCAGACATTTCAGGCGAGTTTGGGCGAGGCAGAGGTCCGAACCCTGGACCGCTGATACCCCATCGATAGGAGCGAACAAGGTCACGATTAATCTGTAGACGTTTAATACCATTTTCCAGAGTTTCCACATACGTCTGCTGTTTTCTGCGGCTCTCTCGAGCTGAGTCGCGATTCCGCTCAAGCTTTTTTTCTTTCTTCTTCGCTTCTTCCTCCATGAGGGACTTCAAAATACTGCTCACTCCCGGCTCCTCTGGCTTTCTAGCAATGTTTACAAAACCCGGTCCTCCACACGCACTGTTCGGCTGCAGGGTCCTAGCTGGCTTTAACATCGAACCCCTGGCAGAAGCCGTTTCCGTTGAGAATGCTGAGGTCATCTCAATGTCGCCAGAGAGCCTGCTGTGCGGATTCATTTGTTGCTGTTGCATATTCCTGCGCAGAGGCATCTGCATGTTCATACCCATCGGCATGCCTGGAAGCCCCATTGGCATCTGCATTCCATTCATACCACAGACCCCATTCATACCATCCATTCCATTTATACCGCCCATTCCGTTCATTTGCGCCAGCTGAGCCATCTGCATTTGCAACTGCAGCTGAAATTGCACTTGCATTTGCATTGGAAATGGCATTCCGTTCATTCCCATCGGCATCTGCATGGGCATTCCCATCATGTTCATCCCTTGTGAACCAACCATTGAATACATCATGAAAGGATTCATCATCATTCCTTGCGCACCTAATCCGGTAGCTTGTTGTGACGGACCGTATAAGCTCGCATCGCTGTTACTGCTCTGACCCGTAACTGCGTTGTTTGCCTTGTTAGCGACGCTAGCATCTTCACTGGTAGTACCACAAGCAGAAAGGGTATCAGTTTGTGTTCTTGCTAGTTTAAGCTTCTCATTAGCGCTCTTCAAGTCCAAAGCAGTCTGGGCTGTAGGGGGCACAGGAGACGAAGACGTAACGGACATCACTGGAACTTGAGACGTTTGATGCTGGGCAGTCAACGAAGCAGCATCCCCATCAACGGCAACATCGAAAGCTGTACAGCTTGTTTGGCGTGAATGATGACGGCTTGCGGACGGCTTGCTGGGTCTGCCAGAAGCCGGCGCGCTTGTTGCTGCATTGAGCTGGGTACTAGTACCGAAGTCGTTCATCCAGCTTGAGGTATTCAGAGCGGCAGAACCAGCTGTCTGCAGAAATTGTTTTTCCTGTTGCTGGTATTGTTGTTGTTGTTGTTGCTGAAGCTGTAGCTCCATTTGCATTTGTTGCTGAAATGGTTGCATATGATTTGGCTGCGGCTGTAGCTGCTGTTGCTGTTGTTGCTGTTGCTGCTGCTGGAAGCCCATCATGTTCTGGCTGGGGTTCAAATTCATGCTCTCCATGGCCACATTGTTACTCTGGTCTGCGTCCAACTGCTTGGAGAACATCGTCGCGTTCGTATCGTCCAACATCTTGACGATATCTTCACTGAGCGATCGCTCGACATCTGCCCGCGTTATTTGCTGATTTTCAAGAGTGGTCACGGCACCTCCCCCCGAGTGCGTGCGAATGATACGTCATCGTGCCGGGCAAGACGTTTTGCTGCTGTTCATAGCCTGAAAAGTTTTCACTACTGTTGACGTGCATCGTAAGGTTCGGACTCGTCGTGGAACTAACCGTGCTAACCGTACTCACTTCATCCGTGTACATGTCGAGCTTCATATTAAAGTTGGCATCGTTTTCATTCCAGTCGTCCCACAAGTTGCGACTCATGTTTGACGACAGGCCTCTAGGAAAGAGAGACGAAATGAAGATACGTAAGTTACAAGTTTATCGCTTTCAATCTCTACTTTCTTAATAGTCTACGTACAAGAGCACCGGGTCCAAATGCAACGGAATATCCGGCATATTTAAGTTTATGGACTGGTCATCATCTTCACCATTCTGTTGCATCACAGAAAGATAACAAAGTGTCAATGTAAAAGTAGACTGTAGACTGGTACACATTGATCCATTGATGAAAAGAAACTCACGTACGCTAAGAGCTTGATAAGGTTGATAATGGAGTGTTGTTTTTTTCGTCTTGGGTGCCTTGGACATACTATTGCGTGTGATGTGATAGAACCAATCGACGAGAAGGTACGCAATAACTTGACTAGTTTGATTTAATTCGTACAACCAGATACGGGTCGGCACAAAACGGTCTCAATTCTTGTCGGTCACTAACGCTAAAAGCTGTTGGTTATATCGGACACGGACAGACTCGAGGCGTTGATTGAGCGATTCGTTGAAAACAGTTTCTGTGAAATGGTGGTATGGAATACCTTTGGTAAAAATCCTGTTATCTAGAATAAAACAAAAAGGATTCACTTGCGAGAGTAACTGTATAAGCAAACCTTGTAAAGCAAATAAACCTACGTAACAATCTGACAACTTTGTCTAATGTAGAAGTTGACACAGCCCAAAATCGCCGTATGATTGGGTGTCACCCCGCCACTAGGCATCATCACTATCAATGAAAGCACAGGTGCTATCACGACATCACAAACGCCACGTACAGTGTTTTTACAATGCCATAAAGACGTTCTTAGCTATGCACAACATTAAAGAAATGGGTTTTAATATAATGGCAAATACTGAAAGAGCTTGGGTGATGACGATGAAACAGTAGTGCCAATAATACAAAAAGCGGATATTCAGCCAACATAGACCAAGAGCAAAATGTGCCACAAGTTTGACCAAGACTACAAGCATGTAAGACAAACACAACAATATTCGTTCTGATGCTGCTGATCCTTTACGTTCGTTTTATTTATTCATATCGGAAAAAATACTTGTGATCTCTCTACCTCTCCCTTAGTAGTTAATAGCGTTGCAAGAAAGGCCCGTTAGCATCGTCATTTCAATGAGAGACTATCTTCTGTGCGCAGTGCAGTTCTAGCGACAATATTGACAATCCCGCTTGAGGTATGCTATAAGTGGGCTTTCTATTCTTTATGATCGCTGTCCTACGACATCGTCAACCCTTGGAGACGTAAAGATTAAACGTGGAAAGGATCTAGAAGAGAACACGTGCTCTTTCATTTGATTGTAAGCACTAGCCTTTTCTTTATCGTTAGTGAAACACTTTTTAATAACTACATTCTAGCTTGTAGCAGAGCTACCGTAGCAAAGCTACTTAACCACTCAATGCAGAGGAAGACAAGCGCTATAAGCTTCTACGTCTTCGGGTGTTTAACCCTCCCAAGGCTAGCTTTACAAGCTTAAGCCTTCTGGTTGCGACAACCACGTCTCAAGGAGACCAGTATCACAAATACCCTTTTCTTTGTATAGGGTTGTACATACACACCTGCCTCACCAGTGTAGTGTGGCTGTACTTTGGGTACATTGATGGGTTGATGTGACCGTACCTGAAGTACGAAGGGTCACATCGTGGCAGAGAGCCCACGTGGTCATTATACTTAGTTTAAGTACTACGAATACATCTGTTTGCATATTCGAAGGCTACAGAGCCAGGTGAACAGTGACTAGCACTAAATATAGAGTAGGTGCTTCTATATTTAGTGCTAGAAGATAACAGTAAATAAATCAAGTACTCTACATACCACACGTGCTAGAGCTCATAGTCCTTGTGTATAGAAATCTTATCTTTACATTTCTATACACAAGGACTAAGGCTCTTCAATACTAGTCTCTTGGAGCCGTGGTTGTTTACAGCCAAAAGGCACAAGCTTGTGAAGCTAGCCTTGAGAGGGTTAACAATCCTAAGACGTTTAAGCTCTTTGAACTTGTCTTCCTCTGCACTTAGTGCATAAGTAGCTTTGCTACAGTAGCTCGTCGACACCTGGTAGCATTTATA